GGCCAGCTGGTCTATAAGCCACTAGCTCCCAGAGGATGGAACACCAGGCACAAAAAAGCAAGCTGCATACAACACAAAGAACAATGCATTTTTTTTTTTTTAGGGCATCTACTCGGTCACCTTCAAGTCTGAAGCTGGGCCTGACACAGCATGTTTATCCTTGTTTAAGATACAGCAGGCTAGCAACAGCGGTCAAAGCTCAAGCCCTGAGGGAATTGTGCAGCAGTCTGGACAGCTCAGTTTATTTCCCTTGACACTGAACAAGTTTGTTTCTTCCGATGTTCTGCAGCAGCTCTCAGCCTGCAGCCTGGGGACTAACACTGCTCTGGAAGACACACAGATTGCAGATAATTACAAATAAACCAATTAAGACACCCTTCCCCTCTCCTTCTCAATTAAAAAAAGCAGAAGAAAACAGATGCTCTAACTGTAGACAAATTGCTGTCTGGTTTTAAGACAAAACTCTTGCCTCTACACCGATACTTTTTAACAGAGGGTTTTTGCATCGAAGTGAACAAGCAGTGCTATGAAGCCCCTGCAAAGCACAACACTGAATAGGAAAGGGCCATTTAAAAAAAGCTACCTACCACTCACTTTGATAGGCTTCTACAACCCAAAGCAGACTTATCTGAAGGTACCACGTTTCAAATAAATACATGCTTTCCACAAAGAATCAAGTAAGCATTAGAACTTAGGCCAGCACAAACAACAACAAACTCAAGAAAACCTCCAAAAAAAAACCACACACCACTCCTTTGAAGTACACTGTTTCAGGAAAACCAAACCAAACAAGAAAACCACACAACTGAGGATTAACTTTTTTTTTTTAAGCTTCCCAAAAACGCTCTCCTCATGTAGTCCAACTGTTTCTTCCCAGTACAGGAAGAAAACCATACGAAGACAGCTGGAGTGCACACACACCATCAGCACACTGAAATAACCTGTGGTACATAATGCTACAGGTTCCATTAACAGACTCGTGCCTCAGATCAGGCTTAGTCTGCTGAGACAAGTTTACACAGTCAAATAATGCACATTCTAAGAACAGACTCATTATATGATATCCCTCATCTACTTCCTTTTAGCATGAGATTAAAGCAGCCTCAGTAGGGCAGTAAGCTCGTGAACTGACAACATCCTTCAGCGCATGGCAAAATATACTCAGAGTCTGATTTCACACAAAAAAGATATTATCAGACAATAGCTAGAATAATGGCAAGAGCTGCAATGCAAACCCTACATCCAGACATCCCTTCTGTTTTCTAGAGGAGGAGGCAGTTAAGTATAAATACCAAGTGTCAAGTTACAATTTTTTTTGTCACAAGTACTGAAGGAGGTGCATACAGTATTTTGACCTGAATTAAACTTCAGTTCAGATACTACCAACTGCAAATACTTAGCACAGCTTTTTTTCTCCACCTTTCTCTTTTCTGAAGCTGTACCACTCGGAATAGCCTCCAATTCTGGCTCTCAGTTGAGATTTAACCCACACATTAGCACCTCGACTTCAAAACAGCTTTTAATTGTATGCCAGCAGTAAATAGACTACTCACTCCACTTTCTCTCATTACAGAACCCAGAACTAGCACTATCCATGTATTAAGTCGATCTCAATAGCACCAAAGGTCTCTCATCTAACTCAGATTTAAAGCTGATCTTAACAGCATTTCTGAAAGGTTAAGTGTCATGCTTAACACTGAAGTTAAGCAACTGAGGCATCTTCATATGCAACCAAATTGGATAAACCCACGTCTAGGTCAGACACTTCATTTCTCAAAAAAAAAGAACCTTAAAGTGTGCCAACATAGTTTCACTGGCTTTTCCGTAGGATTGCCCACAAAACTATGGGTTGCAAGGACAAATGCTTTAAGTCCATCTGTTTAGATTCTTTAAACACTTTTGGCTACCATGACTTGCTTTTGGATTACCTCCATCACCAATGGAAACAAATTTGCTGCTGTACTCATTCGTGTGGCAAAAGGCAGCTCTCTACAGCACGCAGCAATGCTGCAAAATAAATGCAGGACAGGACCATGTGCACAAGCAAGGCTCTTCCCAAACCAATTTTGTATTCTCCCTGTCCACGTGATTTAGTGGTGAGCTCAAGCATGTCAAGGAACTATTTGACACCAGCTCTGGTATACTAAGAGACTTCTTAATGTTTTGCTTTTCCCCTACGCAAACTAGTAGCAAGAAATATTCTGACTGACAAAGTAAGCTTTCAGCTTTACAGAATCACACAGAATGGCCCTGATTGGAAGGGACCTCAAGGATCATGAATCTCCAGCCCACCACCACATGCTGGGCCACCAACCTGCCCATTTAATACTAGACCAGGTTGCCCAGGGCCCCATCCAATCAGGCCCTCACGCTGGGTTCTCCTTCATCTACCAAAACATCAAGAATTTTGGATAAACTTCAGTGGCAAAATGTTATCTGATACTCATGACTGATTAGTCTATAGAGTAACTGTACTCTTCAGTGAAGCTGCTTCTTCACAGCCACGAAAACATTGTTTTCACTATTAGTGCTGATCTGAAGGGTTCACTCTGCATAAATCTACATAGCTTTAAGGACTGAATTATTGCTACATCCCACTGCAGAATAGTCAATACGAAAAGAAGCTAGATTCTACTAAATGAAGCAGTAAAGTGGTTTTACTGAAAAATGAATAAGTTTCCCAATGCTGTTGGTGCGCATGTTTCTCTTACCTTCTTAGACCTCCAGCAACGACAGTACACAGCCTTGTCTCCCAGATCCTCCATATCAAATGCGTGGACTACCTTGGGGTTATCCTTCTGGATATGGAGATTCACCATTGCCTTGCAGCATTTGTCTTTAGAGAGAAATTTTTTGTAAGCTAGATACCCAACAGCAGCTGCTCCAGCAGCTAAAGAGACTGCAGCAATCCATTCAACTAGAAAAAAAAGAAGAAAAATAGACTCAGTTCGCTGACCACAATATTCTATTAAAACTCCTCCCAAGAGTAAATGTCTCCATGCTCAAGACAATACCTCTAACATTCCAAAAGATCCTTCTGTTCTCTAGGCAAAACGCAGCATTTTAGAACAGTGTTTTTTTTTTATTTTGACACACACTGAGTTAATCTGCTCTCTTCCAGTGACCAGAGCTCTCTCTCACCTCATTCCCTTCTATGTTTAACGGTGAGGATTAAAGTGGCAGGGTAGTTTGTTTGGTTTGTTTTTGGTTGGTTGGTTTTTAACTTTTTCTTAATCAGCCTGTGATATCAACACTGAAAAATACAGTGTTTCCAAGCTCAGCACACTAAACTATAAGCTAAAAAGCCTGTTTGTTGTTTCAGTTCAAAGAAGGTAACTAAAGACAAACACACAGCATCAGCAACCAAACAGATCCCTCCAGGGAACTGGTAGTGAGTAAATTTTTTATATAATGCATGCTGCAACCAGAAGAACTTAAGAGATGTTTGGCAACGGGGAAATTATTTAATTTGCAAGCACTCCACAAGAGTAAGAAAAAATCAGCTTAGATTAAAAGCCTACTGTGGTGGTATGGAAAAGAACATGGATCAAAAAAGGATTATATTTAATGGCACAAATTTAACCATGTTATGTCCTGGCTCTGTGAAAGACAATGGCCATTAAAACCACCATTACCTCCCAGCTGCACTAGTTTTTTCCCCCTCTTATAATCTCTGAGAACTCTGGGGTTTTGCTCAATTGTTATCGTTTCCTTTTCTACAAGGACTTTTCCTATTTTTTGTGTCTCTATCGTTTTCTCTGCCTCATGCTAATATCCTGGACTTTGGCCTAACGGTTCTGGCTGCCCTAACAGCACCTGCTTTTTTTGTTTTTGGTTTTTATTCACCACTTCTGTGCGCATGTGTGTTCCTGACATGTATGAAAAGAGTCCAGTTGACTCCACAGACAAAAACATGAGACAGGAATTTAAGTTTTTGCAGATTTATATAGCTTAAGAAAACTAGAACAATCTTCCGCTGGGAGTTCTTCTTTTACCCTTCAAAACCTGTACTGCATTAGAAAGATACCAAGCCAGAAGGTCTCACCGGAGCAAGAGACACCACTGCATTGGATCTAGGATAAGGAATCAAAAGCATTTGTCAGCTCTTGCTGCTTTCCAAGGGCGGCTCACCAAGGGTGTGGATATAACACTAAGTGCAACTAGTCAAACGCCTGCGTTACGATTTGGGAAAACGGACAGGCAATTTGCTAAGTGCCTCACCAGAACAAAACGAGATACAGAGACGTTTTGAAGCTCGTGCTCTCGGTAAGCAGAGCCGAGCAGCAGGGCAGCGCCCCACACGAAGGAGGCACGCAGCGGCGCCGCTCCCCACACGCACCAACCGCCCGCCCTTAGGCGGCAGCCCGCGCCCCAGCCGCCAGGCGGAGCCCCGCCCGCCGCTCCCAGCGCATCCCACAGCACGGACCAGGCCGCCGCTGCCCCACCAACACGCAGAAGCCGCGCTAATTCCCTCAACCTTACCACCTGTTGATACCCACGAGCCCTCAGAGCCATGCCCTGCTCCCGCTAACACGGAGGTCTTTCACGGAGCCCCCCAGCGCTTCGACCCGCGGACCGCTCTCCTCGCAGTCAACCGCTAAGGGCGCCCCGCCGCCATTTTGTCGGCAGGGTTCCGACGGGCGGGGCGCCGCCCCCTCCTCTCCCATGCAGCCCCTCAGCCCCGCGCGCGCCCGTACCCACCCCGCACGGCGCCATTCTGCCCCAGCCCCATCGCTCCCGCTCCGCAGAGGACACACGCAGTTCCGCAGCGCGCATGCGCCGCGCCCCGCCCCTTTTGAATGCCCTGAAAGGCGCGAGAGGCGGAGCGACAAAGGCTCGCGGTACGCGCGGGCGTCAAGACTGAGGAGCGGGCGGCGGAGGCAGAACGCCTCCACACCGCAAGGGGGCAGCGGTCGCCGCGTTGCCGCTCTGTTCACCGCCCACGCTACCCAGCGTGCCCCGCGGCAGGCGGACACAAAGGGCCCGGCGCCCCTCCCCGCGCTGTTGCTTCCCGTTCCGTCGGTGCGTGCGGATGCCGTTAGCCGTCCGCCCCGCCCCCCGCCGCGCTTCTCGCTGCCGTCGCCTTGCGCTCCCATGGCGCTGAAGCGGATACAGAAAGTGAGCTGGGCCGAGGGAGGCCGCCGAGCTGCTGCTGCTGTCGGGAGGGCGGTCGTGCGGTCGTCGCCGGGTGGAGGGGCGGGCTGGGTTTTGCCGGAGCGCCGCGGTCTGGCAGTAAGGAGGAGGGCGGGGGGATGTTGCAGCCGCAGGGCCCCTGCCGATACGCCATTGTATCGCGACAGATGGCAGCAGGCAGACGTGGAGTCTGTCGGGGGAAGGCGAAGGTGTGTCTCTGAGTTTCTCCGTGCGGGTAAAATGGCACCTATTGGCGGTCAGCGATGCTCGCTGAACTTGCGAGGAGCCCCAGCGGGGCTGTGAGGCTGCGGAGGGGAGCACTGCACGCAGCTGTCTATCGCTGCCACAGATACAAAGCTGGTGGTGGTGGACGAGCTGAAAAAATAGCCTTTTGTAGTCGGGAACGGGCTCTATCAAATAGCGTTGTCGTGCTGCTTTCATCTGTAGTAGTTTCCGTGCAATTAATAGGAGGCGTTACTTTCGGAGCAACCAAGGTGTCAGTGCCTGTTTTTTTTTTTCCCCTCACAGTAAGCTCTGTTGTGCCCCGATGTGATGTGGGGTTTTCTCAGCTTTCTATTTTTTCGCTTGGTCTTCAAGAGCTTCTCTAGTTGTGTGTTTGGAGAGGAGGGGATCGTTCTGAATGCCTGCTTATTTTTGTTGTGTTGGGGACAAAGCAAGTGGGAAGTCTGGGGGTGTTGTGGTGTTTTTTTTATAGTAGCTTGTGCTCTTCCAAATGAGACCTTCGTACAGTTTGCTGTATTTTTTTTTTTTACGTTTTGCCTGTGTAAATTTTCTTTCTGCTTTAATGATCTCCGTACGTACTGGAAAGCCACAGCTTTCTTTAGTGAAACATATACAAGCTCTGTATTCAATAGATGTGAAATTTATCCTTGAGAGAGAGCTTTTCATATCCTGTTAGTCTTTTTACGTTGCTTTTTTGTTCTTTGAAAGTGAAGAAGTGCTGACTTCAAGGTTGTGTAAGATTTCTTGGTTATGCAATTGCTTTCATCTGAAACGTGGATTGGTACTGGAGAAGGAGCTACTGAAAGTGTTGAGGTTAGATCCAAACCTGGCTGCTTCTTGCTTCTAGTTTGCTGCAGGAATGACTACTGCTGGGTTACTTCTTAGTAACTCCTCGTCACTGAGGAGAATTGTTTCCAATCAGGAGTTGTAATGAGGAGAAAAAGAAAAGACCAAGTATCTTTGTGTCACTGTTGCACATGGAGCACTCCTTAAAATGCTGGAACTGGGAGAAACTCATGCTAGATTTAATGTATTTCTGTGACAATTAGCTGGTCCCATCTATCTACAGCATGTTTCAGCCTGGCCTTAAAGGTTATGGGTGGGAGGCAATAAGATATGGAGCAGAGGAAATGCTGTAAGGATTTTACAGTTCCTGGGGGAATTCTGTTGAGTTCTAAATGCTGTCAGCACAGTGGTATTGCTTGGGACCTTGTTAGTCTAGACGTATAGTGTTTGGTTAAGGGTGGGTAGTTTGAGGGTGGTTCAGACCTGTGCTTTGACACAGCTTGAGGGGCTTTGGTTGCAAGCCTGAGTGTTGGCAGTTTGGTAGTTTGCCTTGTCAGAATGATAGCACCTATGGAGGAAGCACAAATGCAGTACACGAGTATCAGTGTCCTTTCTTTGTGCACCAGGGACTGATTGGGATTTGGGACTGATATCTAAACAGTACTGCTGCCGTGGCCTGTGTTGTTTTGTGCCTTCTTTCACTGGTCTGCTTTGAGGGACTCCATAAAGGACACCCTGCGGATTTGAGGGCTGTACACTATAATGGAAGGCTGTGAAAGAACAACCCGCTGCTTGGTGGATGTTTATTGTGGATGTTAGCAATTATGTAAAAGAAAACCAATACTGTAGGTTTTAGTTGGGAGGGATATTTTCCAAATGAGTCCTTATGGTTACTGCCTCTAGAAATGGATACGATGTGATTTTTGTGCCAAGGAGGAGGTCATTCAGGCTGCTGGGTTATGTAAGTTGTATAGGTTGGCTCTGCTTATTGGACCTGTATGGAAGCATTTCTCAGAGATTCCTGCTCCGAGTTCTCGCTTTATTTACCTAATTATGAGTTTGTTATCCTGTCAGTTCTGTTACAGCTGGTGGGATGGTTTTCATCCTATGTCCTGTAACTCTGGATGCCCCTCTACTATTAATGAGCAGCTGATGTTTCCTGTGGTTAATCAAATTGTCAACTGCTTACAAAACCTGTGTTCACTTGCTCTCGTTACCAGCATTAAAAGGTGGACTTCTTCACTTAGAGATTTTGAAACCGGCAGCTTCCTCTCTGATGCATTTGAAGACTGGTTTGAAAATAGCTGTTGTTTTTCATCTTGTCAGCACAGTGCTTGATTGTTTTTCTCCTGCCACTCAGTAAGAATGGAGGCGTTCCAATATTCAGATATGCTGCTGAACTAGAAGTCTGTTTGTTTCAGTATGTGTTTCATATGTATAGATGGGCAGGACGTGCCAGCTTATATGCTTATGTTGAAAATAACTTGGCTTCTGCCTATAAACTGTTGAGCTGTGTGCTTTCTTTGGGTGGTAATAAACACACTAAGGAGACCTTTGAATCCTTAATATACATTTTTTTCATTTGCTTCCAAAACCTCACTTGTGACATCACAGAATAGATTTTGCCTTACACAGTATATAAAAATAGGTTAACCCCTTTGTTACTGGAACAAAACTTGAAGGATGTTGTGATGAAATATTTCTTATACATTCACTAAACTTAGAAAGAGGATCCTTCAACTTCAGTACAATCCAGGCTTTAGTTGCTTTTCTTCAGATAATTTCAATCACTATTAATATAGGAGCAGAGGTGGATGTGTGCTCTTAGTAAAAAGTACAGTGCATTTTGTGCAAGAGATGAGGAACACAGCTGAGAAACTGAAAAACCTCTGTTTTAAATAATGGTGCAGGAAAAGGCTCTGGATGTGGTTTCATATATCTTAAAGAATTAAAATAGCTTTTGGTGATGCTGCTCACAGTCTATTTCTGTCTCCTGATAGCCTGCAGGATTGTTTAGCAGTAAAAATGAGGCATATTTTTAGGACTCTTTTATTAGTACTCCAGCTTTCTGAGTATCCATAAGTACTGTTCTTAATATGTTTATCTCCCTGTTGTTGAAGTATGCTTTCCAATCTCATTCCAGTGGCTTCGCAGGAGACAATATCTAACTGTATTTAATGAGGCACATAAGTGCTTGAGCAGCTGCTGTCTCCAGCTTTACAATTCTGAAGTGTATTCTGTAATATACTTCAGCAGTGAGCCCTTGTCTGTATGTTCAGATGTACTTCCACCTTTTACAGTTTAACATAGTTTTACATCAGTTAAACTTATAATTTTTTGTCTCACCTTGTCTACAGATCTACTACAGTGTGTGTGGTGAATAAAAGATGTTCATTTGGAGGCTTTGCTGTGTCCCTCTTCAGTAGCTGATGGTTAACATCTCTAACACTGTGCTGCTGTTCCCTCATTAGCAGCCCTGGTGCTGGATCCTGCTTATGTTCAGGTTCTGTTACTGTTCTATAGTTTGGAGTAGTTTGTTGCACCTGTTAATTGCAGCCAGTTTGTGGCATAGAATTAGCAATATTTTATTCTAGTCATTAATTTTTTTCAGTGCTTGAGAGGATTAGAAGACTTATTCTCAGCAGTGTCCTCAGCTTAGTTTTCTTCTCTATCCGAGTTGATTATGGCTCTATTGGGATAAAGCACAGCGTGCATTGGAGCTCCTGATGGATGGCTTTAAGCCATGACGTTCACTGCTGAAATTGTATTGCTTTTGTGTACTCACACAGAAGATGTTGCTCTCTTGTGTGCTGTAATTCACGGTGTTGAGTTTGCCTTTTAAAAGTAGGATCTGTACAGCTATGAGTTACAACTCCTGTTTTTAGCATGCGTACATCCAAGTCTTGAACTAGCATTTTCTATACCACTGGCTTAAAAAATATGGGTGTAGTTGAAGCCTTGGGGCAACCAGACCTTATGTAAGTCACGAAGCAGCTTTTCTACATCTATTGATTCTAGGAAACCGTCACAGCTGTTCTGGAGTTCAGCTCTGGACGCTGGCAAATTGCTCTGACTTGTAGGGAGGCAGTCAGAATTTCTCCCCCAGCATTTCCAAAAAGTGTAGGAAAGCTTGAAGCCTACCCAAGTTTTACGGCTCTCCAGATGATTTACTTGGAGTTCACAGCTTCAGCAGCATAATTAACAGTACGACACAAAACAGTTCTTAGACTCTTATCTCTACTTGATCTGAGCTGCTTTATGTGAAGTCTCAAACTGTTACACTGTCGAGTTGAACTTACCAAGTTTGATCGCATTTGTATTTCTAAAGCACATTAGTGTCAGTATGTCATGTTTTAGGTGGAGAACGTGGCGTGAGTTTGATCTGGTTGTTTTTCCATAGGTATAAAAGCTTTCTTCCTATCTGAACGTGGCTTTTGCTTAACGCATTATGTTGAAGAGAGACTTCTCTTCATCCCAGTTGGGAAATAACATGATTGCATTGATGTAGATCTCATCAAGCTGTGATTAAAAAACGTTTTTGTTGTGGACAATTGTCATTGTCTTCAGCCTGAAGAAGCTGAAGTGTACATCTTTGTAGTTCCTAGCAGTTTGGAAGTACTAGTGTTGATGTGAATGAAGGAACTAGTGTGATTTTTGGGATGTGTGAAGGTCCTGATGAACGCATCCAAGTGGTGTTGTAGAATTGTGACTCCGAGATGAGGTGCCTGCCTGGCAGCTGTGGTGGTGGGGCATGTGCACGAGGAAATGTGTGCATGTGTTTTAGAGATGTTGAATTGAACCCTTTTTCTCCATTGTTGCCTTAAAGTTAGTAGTCAGATATAATTGCTTTAAGATGGAATTTTTAGCTTGTGAGTTGTCCCTTTTGGCCACCTGTCCTGTGCAGATGACTTCCTTACTCTTGCTTTTTTCATGTAAACTCCATCTTCTCTTGTTGGACCTCGTGTTGCAAGTCAGAGCAGTGGCAGGAGCTGCTCATGGAGTCTCGTGATGCCTGGAAATTTGAGACTTGTTGACTCCTTGTGCAGGCAGTGACTTGGTTACCCTTCTCTGTATGCTCCTTCATGACATTTGAATCCACAGATAAAAAAGCAGCTGCACTTGGACAGGATTCTGCTCTTGTCTCTTAGGCTGAGCCTAAGTGTGGTGCTGCTTCTGGTGCAGCTTAGGGTTTCCCCCTAGTAATGAAGCTGGGAGCTGGCAGTTCACTGTAGCTAACCTGAGCTGTGTTAGTATAGCAAAGAACTCTTTTCAATCACGTAGTTGGAGTGACTTAGGGAAGCTGTAACATCGCTACTTGCAGTGAAGAGGCTGAATATGCTGCTGTTCTGTCAATGTGGGGCCAAGAGTTAGCTGTCAGAAGTGTGCCTGAGTTGCAGCACTGGGCACCTGGTCCTTGGTGAATGAGCTGTCTGGAGGAGGGCACTGTGAGTCGTTCACTGGATGTTGTAAGAAGATAAATATATCCCAGCAGTTGGAATCCAGTTTTGACCCTTTACGTTGTGCGAGCTATCTGACCATAGTGCGTACACTGACTTTACTTGGGGTCACCTTGGTGCCTGTTGAAGCCTTGATTTGTGTTTTTGCAATAGTGTTCTTGACACATGATTTTTTGGGGGATGAAAATGCTTCCTGCTATTCCTTCAAATAAACTTGAGGGGGCATTCTCAGACTTGCTCGTGTTTGTGACTGGTTTAAATATGTATGGTCTTGGTTATTGGTTGGGTGACTAAAGAACAGGAACGTAGCATGCATCTTTTAGCTTACTGCAATGCAAGTATTTAAATAGACTGCTAAACTTACAGCAGAGCGGTTCCTAGCAGTTTGGAGTTGGAGTGAGTATGTAGCTTGTTCGTAGTGTACTAAAACTTCAGATACCAAAAGCAATATATTGAGTTAAACGAGGAAAATGAGCTACATTAATACTTAGATGAAAAACTGAGCTGCTTCTGTATGATTAAATAAAAATTCCAAATTACGTGAGGCAGTGTGAGCTTGTGTGGAAATGAAGTCAGCTGGCATAGCAAAGCTGCTCTGAGCACTTGTCTGAAATTGCAGCTTCCTTCAGGGTTTTCTGTTAGTCACTTGGAAGTAAAGCACGTAGAGAATTGCATTAAGGTACATTAAGGTGTATAGCTTTTATTTCTGTTTTTTCCCTAGTTCACTTAGCATCCTTTCATACTTGATAGGCACTCTACAGTCATTTTGTGAGCTGGTTTAACTCAGTGAATGTGCATGGATTAGGTGAATACATGAATCTTTTGTCAAATCAAAAGCTAAACGAACAGTTGGATTAGCACTTAGTTTCTATATTGAGCACTGAGTTTACAGAGAAATCCATTTCTTTATTTCTTTGTCAGTGCTTCATTAGATCCACACCTATTATGAGCTCGGTTGCAACACTACAATAATTTAAGGTATTAATCTATAATCTTCAGCTGCTAACCTACCTGGAAGAAATCTTTCCTTTATTGGAGGGCACTTCATGTTTTGACTACTTTCAAAATGTTACAGATCTACTTAATAAAAACCTTTGTGTCTTCATTTTGAAGTGATGCTGCTGCATGGTGTCTGTGTGTAATTGCCAGTGTTTGTGTGTTACAGGAACTGAGTGACCTGCAGCGAGACCCCCCGGCTCACTGTTCTGCTGGACCTGTTGGAGATGACTGTAAGCTTCTCCTGGGACATTGCCATGGCTCACCTTATTTCACTTAAGAAAAAGCTTAGAAAAGCTCTCATTATTTTATCTTTTTGACTTGCAGTGTTTCATTGGCAAGCCACTATTATGGGACCTGTAAGTATAATAACTCATTCCCCCCCTGAAAAGCAGACTTGCTTTCATTTACATAATGGAAGTTTTCATTTGGGTTTCTGTTAATGTGGCAGTCTAATTCAGCTGTGCTGTGTGCTGGCTAATGATCTGGGGTGTACTTTGTTGGTTTTGGTAGTCTGGTACTAATTTCTTCTTTTAACTGATCAAAAGAAGTCTGTCTTCTGCCTGAAATTAGGGATGCTTAATCAGTCCACTGCAGTGCTTGAATTAGTTGAAAGATCTTTTCAAAGATCATTTCAATTCTGAAAGATATAGGAAGAAATAGAAACAGAACTAGAGAAAGATTCTCTGAAATTAGAAATAGTTAACATAATCCAACTCTGAAGTTGCTTACCTTAAACAAGATTGGTGGTGGTGTTCTGGGGGCTTTTACAATTTAGCAGGCAGTGTGATGTGGCTCTGGCAAAACTGGGTGGCTTTTGGGAACTCGAGGCCAGTGACTGTGAGTATTTCTGGTGTCTGTGTGAGAAAGATGTCGCTCAACCCAAAGAAAACCTCTGAAAGATGTGATTTATGATTCATGACACAAGAAAGGGCAACATAGCATAAGAACAGAACGTTCTAAAGGAAAATAAGCAAGGGTGTGAGCAAGAAGAATGAATGAAAACATGACCTGAGAGAAAGGGTGCTTACAAATACCATAGCAAGAAGCTGGTATTCCTGGTGTTTTTTCTTATGGACTTTGGGGGGAAAAAAGCTTCTGTTCTGATCAAGAGCTGGGAAATTGAGACAGGACTTAAACCAGTGTGATGCAGTGGTGAAGAAAAGTGAAATTGTGACTCATCTGGGACTATTTCTGCATTTTCATCACAGTTGTTCTGAAGCAGTGGAAGATCAGTGGGTGTTTTGTCAGTGGTGGGCTGGAGCCTGTTGTGATGACACAGCAGGAGCTCTGGTGATAATGAAAAGCTTTTCTATAGATAGTAATGCTTTTGCCATAGTTCTTGAACAACCACGCTCCTTCACATACCCAGTCATTCTGCTCTTGACCTTCTGCACTATTGAAAGGTGAATGGCAGAACAGCAAAGAATATCCAAGAACATAAGGTTACAGAAACTTTGTCACTAGTATTTGTCTGTCTGTCCCGAATGACCCCATTAAGGGAAATACTAGCATTTAAATTCCACCTTAAAATTATTATTCTTTTTTATAATTTTTACTTCACAATTTACTTGTCATATCCTGTATTGGAAAATATTGTCTTTGCTTCAAGTTCCTCGCGTTTCTGTAGTTTAGAATAAGAGTGAGCAGCCTTTCTCAGCCATAATTATTAGCATGTTATCCTTTGTCTCAGTAATGTAAGGAAAGAGGGGTGCACATCCATTCTGCATGTCTTCTGAGGGGTGGAGAGAAGCGTAGGACTGAAACTTATTTGGGAACTCACGTATGATGTGTGTAAATAGGATAACCTCTTCATCTGTCTGTGGGCATCATCCATTTTATATACTTTACCTACTAAACAGTGTGACCTCACTTTACCTCTGGCACTGAACTTGTCTGATCTTAGCTTATTTTAACTTTGACAAATCAAGTTAGTATGCATGCGGGCAGCCATTTCAAACCTAATTTTAGGTACAGTGAGTCTCTTCTGATGTTACTTAACGCTGGCTTCTTAATGGTACTATATATAGGTTGCCTTACATTATGACAGTCTGCATTTTGAATGCAAAAGGAGACATTTCATAGCGACCATTTGTGGTTTTACATCTTCTGTTCATCTCTAGAACTTCAATTTCTGTTGACTCCTAAGGCGTGAACATGATATTTTTTAATAAAAGCCTGCATTTGTTCCCATAAGACAACCCACAGACTTCTCCCTCAGCTTTGCTGAGGCTGGATTCCTCTCTTGCTGTTTTGAACTTCTCAAGCAATAAGAGACATTTTCAGATTTTCTTCTTCCCTTAATTTGAACTTGAAGCACAGCTCTCTGTCATTTAGCATTGCGACTTCTTTTCCCAACTTTTCTAGAAAATAAGAATGAAAAATCTCTTCAACAGATGACTGCAACAAAGTTATTTCTATCTATTAACTGTGTGCAGCCTGGCCGTAAACCTGTGCACATGTTCTCTAACAAAATGCATGTTCACAGATTTGTGCAGGTCACAAAGATGTTGTGTGTTTTAAAACTCCCTGATGTCATCATGATCAACTGAATTATGTTGGAAAATCCTACTCTTTGCATCTGCAAAGAGAAACCACTTCTTGAGGTGAGTATATTTGTAGCTTAATGATGGAGGAAGATCCTGAGTATAGCAGAGCGGCTGTGGCGTTGCACGGAGGCAGCATGTAGAAGACCTGCTGTGATCTTTGTGTTCCCCTCGGTGCTGTGGAGCTGAGCTCCAGCAGCACCTTGCTGCCCAGCTACTGAGGAGGGAGCTGGTTTGGAGCTGATGGACCAGCAGTTTTGTAGCTCCGGCGGTCAAACACTGCTCCCTCCTTTAGCCTCTGAGAAAAGGGCAGCACTCAGTAGCCGCATTGGGCTACTGAAGTAGTAGCCACGGCTGACTCTGCTGTAGCTTTGCTTTCCAATGGGAGCGTTCAGCATCCTCAGTATGGACTGTGTACTGGGGATAAAAAAAAAAGTTGACTGCGATATTCATTGCTTTGGGAGGTTCTCTGCCATCTGAAGAGAAGCTCCACAATAACTGAAATGTATTAATGGCTTTTCTTTTGTTTTTTTCCAGCCCGATAGCGCGTATCAAGGGGGAGTGTTCTTTCTCACAGTACACTTTCCAACAGACTATCCTTTCAAACCCCCAAAGGTAAGTGCTTTCTCTGCAAACTGAAGCAGTTGTTAGGTCAGAGCTTTGTATCTATATCCTTGCTGTCTGGGGCTCGCTTCTCTAAGTAAAAACCAGAAAGGTAAGGATAGAGTGCGTGTACATTGCATGAACAGGTAGGACTGAATCCTGAAACTGAATGGTAAAATGCACGACTTTACCATGGCTTGTGTTGGATATGGAAGATTTAATATGTCTGGAACTGAAAAGAGTGTCAAGGATTCCAAATGTAATAAACATTTTTATGTTAGTTGTAAATTTTACTTTGTTTAATTCCAGATTGCTTTTACAACAAAAATATACCATCCAAATATAAACAGTAATGGGAGTATTTGTCTTGATATCCTGAGGTCACAATGGTCACCAGCTCTGACTGTATCTAAAGGTAAGCTCAGAGATGTGCTAATGGATTTATGACATGACACAGACTAGAGCTTTTTCCCCTGTGTTGCTGCACTGTCCTGGGGGCCGGTGGGAGCTCATTTATCCTGCGTGTTACAGAAGGGGCTAATTCTGTTGGAATCCTTGTTATGAACCAGTATCTTGCACTCCCTATTTGGAGTGTCAGATTGTATCATGTATTACGTACGTAACAAGGAAATGTTCTAAAGCAAGTTGAGTGAGATGAAGTACAGTTAGTCTGAAGTGCAGCTTCTCTATTACAGCTGACTGTGCATGCAGAAGTGAGATCTGTGAACAGAGCTGTAAAACCAAACAAATTTGAATGTAAATGGGCAAAAATAGATACTGCCATGTAGAGGAGCCTCTTTGATTGCTTATTGAGTTTAAGATGGCTTTTCATTGCTTGAGTATACTTGTGTAGGCAGAGATCTTAATCACACCTTATCTTAACAAGAACTAAATTGTTCTGATTTGCATTTTTCTAAGATGAATTTTAAGATGTAGCTGTTCTCTCAGTCATCAGTCAGAGCTATATTCTAATCTTGTAGTTGAATTTTCTCAAGCTTGTACACTAGATTTTTTTGGATATTGACATTATAACCTTTTTTGTAGGCTTTTTGTGTCACTTCAAAAGCTGCTTGAAGTGTGGCTGCTGTCACTGTTTTTCTCAGCCGTCTCCAAAATTCTTAGCTGTGCTCTTAATTTCTTTTTTACACTGTATAAAATGATTACCTGACCTGCTTGTGCGGAAAGTATTAGAAAAATCAAGTGTCCGTGGTGCAGTAGCAAGATTTGAAAATGGAACCATGAGTGAATAAGAATACAGTATTTCCCCAAGTGTAAGTCAGGCATATATCAAATAAGTGAAATGTTCATTGAAAGAAAATAATGGTCAGCACAGAAGTGGAGAATGATTTGCATGTTAGCCTAAGATTAATGATAATGTAAATTGCAGCCAGAAGGGCTTTCTTGGAAAAATATTTGTTCCTCAGTTGTCTGTAGTCTGTTCTGTGTTCATAGGCTAAAACATGGGAAAGTAATCACTACAGAAAGCACAGGTGTGTAGATTGTGAGTTCTCTGGGCTGTTATCAGATAGTGTTAGACCTAGAGAAATGATGCTGTATAAATATTTCTGAGCAGAAGTGCTGTCTGAAATCTTCATACTCATGCATTCACTTTCTAATCTTCTTTTCTTCACTTTGTGTACTGGAATATATAAAGGATTACAGAAACCAAGTGAACTAACTTTTGTCTCTTTTATTTAGTTTTATTGTCCATATGCTCCTTACTTTGTGATCCTAATCCAGATGATCCTTTAGTACCGGATATTGCACAGATCTACAAGTCAGACAAGGAAAAGTGAGTATAACATAGATGTATTTGTGGTACTTGCAGATGGTGGTTGGCTATGCAACCTGTCTACTTGACAAATCTCTACATAGATATCAATAGTAGAGTATTGGATATTGAAATATTGAAAAAATCTGTTAGTAAAATGACAAGCAGGAACCTGCAGGCATATGCAACCGTTAGATATTACTTTTGTTCCTATTTGCATAAAACCATCATACTGTTATCTTATGTTTATTTTTCATCACATGAAAAGAGTATTTTTCCAACTAGGAATCATTTGTTGTTACTGTAATCTTCTGGGTATGAATCCTGTGCATGTAGTATGATGTTCAGGTATGAACGGTCAACTTAAGTTTTTGATACAATTTTATAAATGTGGGGTAGAACAGTACTTGCTTTACTTCGTGTTAAGGGTTGTTGTCACATTTGTTACATTCTACAACACCTTATGGAGAGAGAGAATCTTTACTTACTTTCTGGATCACTGTAGAACTTAAAGGAAGTTTTTGATCTTGGGAGGGTAACATGGGCAGCAGGTAACTCAAGTGCTAGATGCTTGTGGACCACAACTGACTTAAAATTGGGATGTTAGGCATCAATGTAAGCATCTGCTCTGGCATCTTCAAGCGCTGAACATTCTGTGTTTTCCACAATTCATTTTTGAGGCTTGCTGACTATTTTACTCCTATGGAGGGTTTTGAAGTGCTGTGATATGGCTAGCTGCCTGCCTGAACCCCCAAAATCAGATAAATGATGTAAAGGTTGTTTGCAAGTCTAGGACTTTGGCACTTTTGGAGTACTGTTTCAGAGCGCTGTGTTCACTTCAAGCACTCCAACTTTGAGTGGTGACATCTGTGGATAGCACAGATGTAGAAAAGCACCTTGCGGGAAATGTTTGATACTGATGGGGTACCTTTAGTATTGAGTTACTGAAGATCTCTTGCAGTGTATGCAAGTAGCCTATTGATTATTGCACATCTTCATAAAGATCTCAGTATTTTTCCTGTGAGGACTGGACAGAGAAGGAGTGAGGCAGAAGCTACATGGAAGTCTGTGGTCTGGTATTCTTTTCTAAAAATGAGCACTGTTAAGAGTCTGGTACTATTGAATAATGTGATCTGCTTCAGGAGTGCTTGATTCATGGCTATACTGCAAAGCAGGTTGTCTCAAGTTGAACAAGCTGTACCTCAGCTTTCACTGAACCATTTAATTCAGCCTTGTTTGTAGTACATGTGGATAGTGGGTGTTTCTCTCTGTAACTTGTAATTTTATCATTGTTATTGAAAGTGAGAGAAGGTGAAATTATTGACTGTAACTCTGTCTTTATATGCATCACCCACTAGAAATTTTGAGTATCCTGTAAGATTTGGGAAACCAAAGATAGGACTGGTTACCCTGACCACCTGAATATGGACATGTTAGCATAACTGAAAGTCCAAAGACTTGCATGATAACATTCTTAGGAACAAAAGCAGTTAGTATTAGACTTGGCATACTGATCTGGAGGATTGATTTTAAAAATAAACCAACTTAACATTTGCTGTGGAACGCTGAGAGAAAAGTGCTTCTAGTCTGAAGATTAGAATGTTACTAAATGCAAGGAGCAGAGTCAGACCCTCTAAAGGCACTTGGCTTTGGGAATGCTAGTCAGCTTCATGGCAAAAGGCAGAGACCCAAGACTTACAATGTAGTCCGCAGTGCTTTTCAGGATATTTTCCTTTCAAGTTCTGATATGCAGATGGAAGTGCAGAATGGAGAATAATGGTAATAATCACGGAGCCTTCCATCTCCACCCTTTCCAACACTGGTTAACTATATTGAATTCTACACAAATGTGTGAACTTTGTCAATCTGCTAATAGCATACACATTTGGGAGTAATTGGCAACTGATTCCACTTAATGTACAAGCAAGGGAACCAGTTGTGAAATGCAAGTTGAGTATGCACAATGATAGGTTTTTCAGTGCAAACCTGGGAGATTAGTTGTGAGTTTGAGTCTAAGTAGCTTTTATAGCTAGCCTTGAAAACCAAACATACCCGTTGTGTGCTTCTTTGATCTTAGAAATGCTAACATGGAGTGGATGTTAAAAGTGAAAAGCTCAGTAGTATCTGCATGAAGTAAAATGGCCATTGAGACTTTGTCCATGTCTCACTAACAGCTCTTCACTCACTGTAATCCCTTCTTTCTGCACATACAGATACAACAGACACGCAAGAGAATGGACTCAGAAATATGCAATGTAAACTTATGAAGACTTTTTCATATACCACAGAGTACTGTAAATTCTAGTTTTTTTCAAACTTAGAAGGAAATGGAGCACAGTTTACTGTTTCAACGTACCATCATGCCCCTTGAGTATTTTATTTTTCCACCCATGTAAGTGTGTTTCTGGAGCAAGGGAAGACTTCCAAAATAACCTTATGACTGTGACGAGAATATTTATCCTCTTTGTATGCTTTGCAGAAGACATATATTATGGTTTTTAAGAGTTGGACATCTGCATCTTCAGACTACAAGATCCTTAATGCAGTTGTAAAGCAGCCAAATTATTTTTGCTGGAGAAAAGTAGCTGTTTTTAAGTGATGAATACTGTATGTGTGTCTTTAAGATATATTGTCTGTTTCATAAGTGTGTTTGGATTTCATTTTGCTAGTTCACTTATATAATTTGTATTTTTAATTGTATAGACTAAATATATTTTATTTACGGTGTAAGTCATTTCATTTTAGACTGACTTTCTCGTGCACAGTATTGACAATATACAACTGCTAGTAATGAAAGTAATTGGGATATCCTGCCCTTTGGGATACTCTAAAGACTGACTGCAGATTTCTTAAAACCTAAAATGATCTTTGCACTGTAATTCTTTGTATGCTGATTATGGAGAAACACTTGGTTTTGATTCTGTTGCATACTTGACTTAATTTTATTGCAATGTGAACTAATTGCACTGCTATGTAGAAAAATATGTAACCTTTTTGTTGCGTTTCACGACTGATTTTTGACATGTGGGCAACATAACACTCAGACCTTTTACAAATCTAAATGTAGCCTTTTCCATATAAATAAAATGAATTTTCTACTATCTGTCCTGGCTGTTGTTTGTCTTTTTCAATCACAGAATCACAGAATTGCCAGGGTTGGAAGGGACCTCAAGGATCATGAATCTCCAACCCCCCTGCCACACGCAGGGCCACCAACCATTCCACCTAATGGTAGACCAGACTGCTCCACACTTGGATGCAGTATTCCAGATGGGGCCTCACAAGAGCAGAGTAGAGGGGAACAATCACCTCCCTGTCCCTGCTGGCCACCCTTCTTTTGATGGAGCCTGGGATACTATTTGCATTTTTTCAATGCATGTTTTTAAAATGCTTTCTCATGTTAGAACATGAAAATTTGAAGTGTGTGTGTTTGTCAATCAAGTTTATTGTCAAGAAGAAATCAAGCCCTGCATCAGAGATACTCCTTAGATCTGTGTTGCAATAAGTTTTCATGGCTGGTTCAGCCTAATTTGCTTAGCGTGTTGTACATGCTACTTTATGTAGGATTCCAACAAGTTGACTTGTGTATTATATACATCTTTTTGGAGCAGATAACAGAAGTAATTGAAATTCAGTGTGCCAGTTAAGAGGGTGTATTTGCAGTATCTAAATGTTACAGCCTTCTGGTCTTCTCTGCTTGCCTTATTTCTTGTTAGAGGTAGTTAAGCTGCACTAAGAGTGACAGTTAAGTCTCATGCTTAAAGCTTGCTTATCCATTAATTGTTACTTGAATTGCTGCGGATTGCACGTGTACAAAAGCAGTGGTGCTGGAGAGGGATGTCTTGGGAAGTAGATGAACGAACAACTCCTTTCCTATCGTAGCTGAACTTGTGAGCAATCTGTAGAAACAGGATTCGTGTTTTCCTCTGTTCGTCGCCGATGAAACTAGGAGCGACTTGAGACAGCTGTCAAAACAAACAGCCTCAGATGGTGAAAGCGTATTTCAGTGCGATGAATGCTGGGCGGCAGCTTTCAGGTGGGAGCTGCGGCTCTGCCTGCAGAGTCCCGCTGTCTGCACGCGTGCTGGCTCTCGGCTGTGTCTGCATAAGCAGCTGTCGTGCCGGTGTTACGTCTGCGCTGTACCAACCAATTCCGAAACGAGCTGTGCCGCTCTTAAAATAGCCCTGTTCACTTCGGATCGCGAACTGATGGAATGTTTCGTGTTGCTACGAAAGCAGCGCTCGCAGTGCGGGCAGACGCCAATTGGCATCGCCTTCTCGCACAGCTCGTTTCTCCCGCGTGCGGCGGCGCGCAGCCCCGAACCCGGAGCGGCTCCCGCCCGCGGGGTCACCTTGGCGCAGCCCCTCCCCTTCCGTAGGCGCTGCTGGGCGGCGCGGCCGCCGCCATCCCGTGGTGCCCCGCGGCGGCGGGCGGGCGGGCTGCGGCATGGCGGCGGCGCTGGCGCTGCTGGGCCGGGCTGCGGGCCTCGCCAACGGAGCGCGGCGGCTGCTCAGGTACGGCGGGACGGGGCGGGGGACGAAGGGCCGGGGCTCCGCTCGGCGCTGATTGTTGGTGTTGCGCGCAGGGGCTGCGGCGTTGGACGCGCGGCGGAGGCGAGCTGCTGGCGGGCCATGAGCTCGGCCGAGCGCCCGAAGCGGCCCCTCAGCGCCTATTTCCGCTTCCTGAGGGACAACCAGCCCGCCTTCCGCCAGCAGAACCCAGGTAGGGCGGCGAGCAGCGGGCGTACGGAGTTGGTACGGGAGAAAGGTGCTCGTGGCAGCTTTTCCTCGAGGAAAGCTGGCTGAAAACTCAGTGTTTTTTCTTCTGCTGTGTGACGTGCAGATCTGAACAGCTTGGAGCTGGTGAAGAAGCTGGCCGGTGTTTGGAGGGAGCTGCCGGCCTCGCAGAAGCAGGTCAGTGCTCGTCGGTGTGTGATGTAGCACCTGCTGCTTTGGGCTGCTTGTCTGTTAGCACAGACATGGCTTCTCGAAGTCCAGGCTTTTCTGCTTGCCTTAATTCTTGAAAAGTTTCAAATAATGGTGTAAAACATCTCCACAGACTCAGCTGTAAGTGCCAACTATAGCAAATTAGTGTTTTGCTTTGATTCCTGTTAGCAGCGAGTTCCTTTGTTGTGAGCAGCGGAGTGCTCACGTCCTTTCTGAACTTGAGGCTGTTACTACAAGGTTTGTCTTCTCCTTTGTGTGTCAGAAATGGAGAGAAGGATGGTGCTGCTCCAGAGCTTGGTGCTCTGGTAATAAGGCCATGATTTTATGATGCTGCTGTACTCGGTGCTGGTGGTTGTGAGAATGCATTTGGGGACTGAAGCACTCGTGTGCTGACATGGGTCAGCATAGTGAAAAGCAATTGTTTCAGTTGAGCTTCAGCTTTCCCATCATCTGTGGGAGAGTAATATTTCATTGAGCTGCATTTGATTTGCCTGATGTCAGATGCTGTGTCATCACGTTAACTAAGGTGATTAATGGGGTGCACCCAGGTTTTGAATCCGTTCTTTTGAATTTGTTCTGCTGCTCAGACCTAAATGTAATATGGCAGTCTGCAAACTTAGGTTGTACAGTAGTCTGTGAACTAAACTAGTAGGCTAGAAGTGTTGGCTTCTGATATTCAAGTGCATGGATTTGAGAATGCAAGGCACCGTGCTTAGCTGAATGAAAGTACACTGTTAAGGCTGATAGTTGTATTGTAGGTTTACGAGGAAGCAAGGAAGACAGACTGGCGAAAATACGAAGAGCAGTTGGCTGCATACAAAGCACAGCTAACTCCAGCCCAGGCTGCAGCTTTGAAAGAAGAAAGGAGAAAACGGCTGGCAAAAAGAAGATCCTTCAGGATAAAGAGAGTAAGTGTTTTCAAGGTAATGTGCAGCACCTCAGGCCACCATGAGAACATGTCAGGGATGGAGGAAAAAAAACCAACAGTAAGTGCAATTACATCCATAATCTGTTGTACTTTCTCTGTCACTTCCCTGTATACAAAGCATTCTCATAGCAGAAACTACCTTTTTTCCCCCTGGAAATTTGTTCATTGTGTTCAATCTTGGCTCCACAAAGTTACCCACCTGCTCTTTGCTCTGCAAGCATACAGTATTTCACACCATAACCAAAACTGTATGAAGATAATTAAAAAAAAAAACCAACATCATTACTTTCTTGCAGAGTTGAATTTAGTAAGAGTCTTTGGTCTTCAGAACCAGACTTAGCTGAAGTAAGAATCAGTCTGTATATACTTTTTGTATGAAATATGAACACTGATGGGAAGTTTGGTTTTGTAGAAAAAGGTGTGTCGGACGGATTGAATAGCTTTTATTGTTTTTGAAGGAATTGACTGTGCTTGGAAAACCTAAAAGACCTCGAAGTGGCTTCAACATTTTTGTATCAGAAAACTTTCAGCAGAGCAAAGGACTTTCACCTACGGTAAGCAAACTAGGAAGGGTTTATTTGAATAGTACTTAAGTATAGCAGCAATAGCTGCCTTAAACAATATGGTGAGTGTAATAACCATTACATTCAGAAAATGTGTCCTGGATTCTGTTGCTTTCAAAGTAATGCTTTGAACTAACATTTCAGTATCTGAATATTCCTATGCTCAAGTGGGTTTTTTGTGTCTGTTTTGTTGGTGCTTTTTCTTTATTATTTTATTTTAACTATGGTGATCTGGCTATTCTGCTCATGGCACATCCTGTATAAACTGCTGTGTGGAGATAGAGGCTTAAAATTCTTCCTGTACTTTGTACACATCAGAGCTAAACATTTCATGCAGCTCTACTTTGTTTTGAGCTAGAAATACATGAGTTAATCAAGTGCTTACAGTGGTCTGCTACCAATTTTGCCATGAAAAGATGGCATTTGTTTGCAGAAGCACTTTGCTATGTTAATTAATGTTTAATGAGGATGTTGATATGTTTTGCAGCAATTAATTCAGGATGGTGGAAATAGTTGAGTTCCTCAGCTTTCTTTTTACAAGACAAGTATCTCCAGTCAGCTGAGGCCCAGTTTGACAAGCATGTAGCTCGGTACTCTTTAAGTGATGCAAAATTTCTTGTGGATGTGGTTAATTCTTCTGTGGCTTTGTTTTAAATTAAGCCAATAGGAAGGATCAGAGGTAGCCGTGTTAACAAAAGTTACTTAATCTGTTAGGTCTGCCTCCTTTTGCTGTAACCTTACTAACTTTAACTATCTATGCCAGTATCATCTGTAGAAATGTCTATAATGATGCCCAGCAAGCTGTCAAATCATGTCTTCAATTATTTACCTAAGCCAAGAGTCTGGGGTAATAAACCTTTATGACTTGACTTGCTTTTTTACACTGGTTTACACCTGGCTTTCAACTGTAACCCTCTATGATGTCTGGCATTAAAATAATGTTCATGTATTGTGTGCTCAATATTCCGCAGGCAAAGCTGAAGCAGTTATTTGAAACGTGGCAAAATCTATCCAGTTCTCAAAAGCAGGTATGTTTGTGGTTTTTAATGATACACAGTAAAAGCAATTTTGCACATAATTTTTTAACTTGATCTTGGGTACTTTTCTGCCAACTATTAAAAGTGTATTTAAATACGAATTTGCAAGTCATTATTTGAAAATATTTTGATATTAAATCTTCATATTTTTTCAAGTTTTCATAGAATCATAAAGGTTGGAAAAGACTACAGAGACCATCTAGTACAGTTGTCAGCCCACCATGCCCACTATCCTGTGTCCCTCGTGGCCACTTTTACCCTTTTCTTCAAAACTTCCAGGCACAGTGATTCCTCCATCTCCCTGAGCAGCCTGTTCCAATACCTCACCACTCTTTTTCCTAATACCCAACCAGAACTTCTCCTGGCACAACTTGAGGCCATAACTTCATGTCCTACTGCTGTTATTGGGAGCAGACCTGCACCTCATCACCACCTCCTTTCTGGTAGTTGTAGAGAGTGATAAGGTTTCCCCTGTGTCTCCTGTTCTCCAGCCCACCTCCTTTAGCTGCTCCCTGTAAGAAACGTGCTTCAGACCATTCACAGTTTCATTGCCCTTCTCTAGACACGCTCCAGGGCCACTGTCTCTCCCTTGTGAGGACCTTTCTGTCCTTTTTCCTGAATGCCCTTTTTCCACAGTGTTTTGAATGTGTACTGAGAATACATGTGAAGTTCATATTCTTTCTGTAGGAATAACCAGCTTGTGCAGAAATGCCTATTCATGTTCTTTACAGAAGCTTGCTTTCTCAGACTAGCACACAAATAAGATGCCTTAGTTGCCTGTAACAGTACTGAATTAGCTTCCTCCTTGGGAATGACCATCTGTTGATGTTCCCCATCATTCAGTGTTAGCATTTGGTGTTTTTGTTCAAGTTGGAAGTTTTTTCAGTTTGCTGGAGGTAAAAATGGACACCTGGGATGAGTACTGCACAGTTTTTATAGTTAGTTCCCTTTCTGTCAAAGGGGAGGATGTGGCATGGCAGTTACCCAGATACAGCCCCTTAGATGACTGTAGAGATGTGTTTTTCTTTCAGCCATACCTGCAGCTTGCTCAAGATGATAAGGTGCGGTATCAAAATGAAATGAAATCATGGGAAGCAAAAATGATTGAACTTGGACGTGAAGATTTGATACGTTCCAGAGAACAGCGGCCAAAAAAGAAGACTGACACTGCCCAGGAAAGCTCCAAAGCTTCGCTGCGTGAAAGCCTGGCAAAGCTCAAGTTGAAAAAATCTGAAGAATAAAACAGTTACGTATGTAATGTCTTTATCCTGCTGTGCTAATGCTGCAGTCAGGGTTAGGGCTGAAGGTTGGAAAACTCACAGTGGGCTGCTGGAGACATTGGAAAGGGAAGTGATGGGGAAAGAGAATTCGGTGTCTCTTGGAACTGACTTAATCATGGCAGGTGTAACCTGAGCTGTGTAACGAGAATTGGTTAATCAAGCTGTGAATGGTGGCAATCACTGACATCAGCAGAGCTCTCCTACAATGGTAGATACCAGCTAGCTTTTGTAAGAGATTTTTTTTTTTTTTTTTATGAAAGCGAGAATATTCTACTATGTTACCATTTAATTCTGTAACTAGGAGCTGAAACCTGAAATACGCTGCTGTGTTTTATTCCCTCCATGGTAGTGATAGAGAAGGCGAGCATTTCAAGGCGCAGGAAATGCGACATGCTAACTTCGGGTTTGTTCTTTTTGTATGTATCAGTCTGTGTATACCACTTACATCGTGTTTCATTAAAGACCTTATGAATTTTGTACAAATATAGCTCCATCGGAGTGCTTTTCTCTGCTGGAACACCAACCCTTCTGCTTTCACATCGGTGTGAAAGCGCCCTCAGGGGGAAGGGAATGTGTGCATGTTGGCTTTAGGTGCTGTGAACACCAGTATTGTGAGGGGCTGCTGCTTCGTTTATTTTTTTCTAGGAGAATCGTGGAGAACCTGTCTTTTTAGCAGGAGGGCAACCTTTTCACCGGTTTGGGGGATTTCACGTAGGGAGCTAATTACGAGTCGGCGCGTGTATTTTGTGCACCCAGAGCCGCTCTGGGTTTCCCTCAGGAAGAGGCGGGTGCCGCTCCGGGTTACTCGGCGGGGCGGAGCAGCCGCTGAAGCGGCGCCTTGGTGAGGGAGGGGAGGAGGGAGCGCTTCCCGCCTTCAGAGCCGCCTGCCCCGCCTCGCGCATGCGCCGTGCCGCGGGGCGGTTGGCGGGTAGCGGGCGGGATGGGGCTGCTGCAGGACTGCCAGGCCGCCTTCGGCGCCGCCGACCTGTACGGCGCGCTGGGCGTCCGCCGGGAGGCTTCGCCTGAGGAGATCCGCCGCGCCTATCACCGCGCCTCGCTCCGCGTCCACCCCGACCGGGCCGAGCCCGAAGCTAAGGAGGAGGCGACGCGGCGCTTCCAGGTGAGTGCGGGCGGGCGGCTGACTGACTGACTGACCGACTGACTGACTGACTGACCGACCGGCCCCACAGATCCTGGGCAAAGCCTACGCTGTGCTGAGCGATGCGGAGCAGCGCGCCGTGTACGACGAGCAGGGCACGGTGGATGAGGAGGGCGAGGCGCTGCGGGCCGAGCGGGACTGGCAGGAATACTGGAGGCTGCTCTTCAAGAAGGTGAGCTCCGCTCCGCTGCGGGCTGACACGCTGTGTGCTTTTTGCTGCCCGCTTTTGGCTGCCCTCCCTTCGTCTCGAGAAGGAATGGCCTAACTCAGGCGTGTGCTCTCTTGGCTTCAGATCACCGTCAAAGATATTCAAGACTTTGAGAAGAATTACAAAGATTCAGAGCAGGAGCTGGCGGATATTAAATCGGCCTACGTGGATTTTGAGGGTGACATGGACAGAATAATGGAGTCGGTGCTGTGTGTGGACTACACGGATGAGCCGAGAGTGAGGAAGATCATAGAAAGAGCCATTGATGCTGGAGAACTCCCGTCCTACAAAGCTTTTGTGAAGGAGTCCAAGCAGAAAATGACGGCAAGGAAGAGGCGGGTGGGTACCAACCAGGGACCAAAAGGAAGCAGTGTGTGCTCTATCAGCTTCTCATCTCCCTTGGTGGAAGCTTAGGATGTGCATTTGCCACAGGGTTGCAGATCTGCTCGGTACCTTCCTCTTCCACACTTCATTGCCTTTATTTTCCACTTCCCTCCCCTCTCCGTAACTATTGCTTACACCGATTCCAGTCAAATGGTTGTGAGGCTTCAAGTAGTAACAGGCTACTGCTGCTCGTACCTTCTTTCTTCTATTTCAGTATTATCCACAGTAACTTAAGACAGCTGACAATGTCCCTTCATTCAGTTACAAAGCTCCAGTCAGTGGAGCTAAGAGTACATGGGGGAAATATATAATTTACATGCTTATTGATGACTGTGAAATAACAGCCTGGGCTCAATTCTTTCCAACTTTTGTTTTTGTTTTGTTTTGACACTTTGTACCCTGCCAATAACAGTCACCTTCAACACATAGAAAATAGAATGGCTGCTAGGACAAAGTGTGGGTACAGGGAACAAGGATGGGAATGGACTTCAGGTGATGCTCAGCACTGCCAAACAGCAAGGAGCTGCCCCACTCTACCAAACTGGCTCTCTGTGATTATTCATTGGTGGCCAAACCCAACCCTGGCAATTCTGTGATTCTGTGAAACTGTGTTTCCTTTTGGCTCTTAGTGTATCAATGCAAAAGTTAAGTGTTTAGTAACTATTGTAAGATGTCCAGGTGCAAAATACTTACCTAAAGGCTTGTTTGCTACTTCAGGCTGAAAAAGAAGCTAAGGAAGCAGAAGAGAGCAGAAAAGAACTGGGCCTCGGTGATGGAGAAGATGACTTGAAAGCGCTGATTCAAGTAAGGCCTTAAGCATCCATTGAAGATAATTGTTCCTGACTTCAAATTGTGTTATCCCTGAGCATATTTACATGTAGGATCTTTGCAGCTCTTCTTCCATAAAAGCTTCCTGATGGTAGGGAATGCTGATTGCCTACTTAGTTAACATTCAGAGTATGGATTTTATTACCTGTATCTTTTTTTAAATGAAGTGAGTTGTTATAATATGTTCATTTTTACTTCATACACAATTCAACTCTTTAACTTTTCTAGTTTTAGGCGGTTGGACAGGAAGTGTTAATGCTTATTTCTTTCTGAGAGATTCCGTAAGGATGTAAAACTTGATCAGTCTTACTATTCTGCTTTTGTGTTTTGGGCAGTGAGGGAGGAAATAGCCTGTTTAGGTTCTATCTTTCAGTCTTGCTTTTCTTAATGCCCAGTGGGCTTGAAATGGGATGTTGAAATTAAACGATTCCTCAGATTGTGTTAGAGTTTTGGGTCTAAACAAGAAATTGGTTATTTTCCTAGCTGTATTTTGTGAATTTTCAATGACCTCTGTCTCAATACTTCACAGAAGTATAGAACCTGGAGTACAAGGTAGGCTTTGACTCGGCTGAACTCTACCTTCTGTAGCCTGTATTCACTACTGAATATATTCCAGAGTTGGAAGTAGCTATCTAACTTCATTACAATGTTCCATATTGAGCAGTAAGAAATGTTTGTTTTGTTTTTCCTCCCCCAGAGCAGAAATAAAGACCGAAAAAAGCAAATGGATGATTTTTTGGCCCAAATGGAAGCAAAATACGGGAGTAATGCTAAAAAGGGAGGAAAGAAGACTGCAGCCAAGAAAGGAAAGAAATAAAGGACTGTGTATGCTGAAGTGTCAGGTATCATTTCAGCTGGGAACACGTGGATTTAGGAGAGTTTCAGAGTGTGTGTGCATCAACTTGCTGTGACTGAGGAGCATGGTGCAGAACGCATCGCAAACAAGAAAGACAAAGCATTCTAGTGCTACTGTTTAAAATCCTTTGGGTGCTTTTTAATTAAGGTCAAACCAATTGTTGGCTAATAGTTTTGTTACGGTAAGGAAGCGCTGAGATGCCTGGGATGGCTGCCTGTTTATTCAGCCTGTGCTGAATCACGTTCAGGACTGTCAGTACTGCTGATGGTGAAACAACGTGATTCCGCACCTCTGAGAGTTTTTGCCACTTGTTCCTGTGGCTTTTGAGTTAGAAACCTTATCCTTTTGTTGTTCACACTTTTCTAACCAATCTTGTGCAGTTCTTAGAGATCTCTGCACTACAGCTCCACAGGTGTTTTTCAGAGATTCCCCAGGTTTTATAAATACTTATGAAAATAGAAGATTTAATAAATGATTTTGCAGAACTTTGTGCTATCTTGCTTTCCCCACACCCTCTATGTTATCTAATCATTCAAAACACACTGTTCATGTTGGTACTTATTTTTATTGAAGTAAATACTGCATACTTTTTTAGCAGCTGAAAAGACATCTGCACTGGTAAATGTGCTGGTGTTATGGAGTTATAAGAAAGGGCCACTTATTATTTATAAACCAATCTTTCACAGTGGCATGTAAGCAGATGCCTTAAGAAAATGAGACTGCAGGAAGTATGTGAGTGACTTGGCAGTAAATCTAACACCTTCTAACATGCTGATGTGATGCAATAAACTAATAAACCCACAAAATACAGTGGCTTTGTGTGTGTGTCTAGGACTGATGATGTCCCATGATGAGGACTTCCAAAGCCTAGCAACACACTGTTATCTCAGTGGCATCACACTCCTGCTATAGGATGAGAGGGATTACTTCTGACTCCTGCTTTAGTGTGCTCTGTGTTAGTCATCAGCTCTGTTATTTCAGAAGTGCTCTTCTAAGATGTGTAAGTATACGTAACTTGGGTTTTTTTTATTATTATTTCTGCTCTTTTAAAACTGCTTTATGTAATGGTTCAGGGTATGAATTTGAAAGGTTACTTGCTGTAGCTGAAAGAAATGAGGCTGGCTTTATTTATGGATCATTCTTCAAAGGCCACATGACAAACACCTACTTTTGAGTTGAAGGTCCCTACCACTTCAGTGATAGAATTCAGCTACTATTTACTAGAGCTTCCTAAAGGGAAGCCAGAGGTAGAATGGGAAACGAGTTCCCTTTTAGCTGCTTTAAACAGTTATCCTGATTCAGAAAGAGTTCAGTAGGTCACTGTGTTGATTAACACACGGGACTTGAACGTAACTCTTGCTGTACAAAACAGATATCGAACAGTATAGACAAATCTCTCAACCATTGGTATAGAAATCAAAAGTTACCTTATGACCAGATGGCTTTCATTTCTTTAATGCCTTGTTTCCTCCCCTAGGCTACAAAATACTGAGTTATGGTACTAGAAGTCTGTTCAAGTTTGTGTAGCTTTGTACTCTTAAGCACTATGTTGGTCCCTGAGGAATGGCACTGGTTTAAAGAGGATGCTTATCTCCAGAGAGCTTGAGACAACTAAATGATACACTGCACGGCGTTCTGCTAGTCTTAACCATTAGAGAAACTGTGTTTTGAAACAGTTTAGTGATCACTGGCTGCTTTTAGGCATCCACTTACCTCTATTCTACCTTACAGAGATATTGATTGAGCCCAAAGCTGCTTTTTCCTCTGGAAATGCAAAGGAAGGAGTCAACTTTCCATTTGTAGACTTCTGCTTTGCTTTGTTTTCCATTCTTTTTGATCGGAGCATGCTTGAATCGCTGCATGCTTTGATCAAAAGAAGAACTTCAGTCTGGTTCAAAAATCATTAGTTGTTGTGTAGGTACTGCTAACACTTAGTAGATTGCATAGCTTACAGTGGAAAGTAGAGGAGCCACTTCATAAAAAAAAGAACCCTGACAAGTTGTTTCCCTTCTGAACTGTAACTTGGAAAATACTAAGAATAAGGAAACTTAGAAAAAGTGCTTTTAAATTGAATCATAAAGGATCAACTGTTTTCTTGCAGGAAAATGCAGGAATGTTATCTTCAGCTTGTCTTTACACTTGCAAGTCATCTGCTGCTTACTGCCTGGGAGCAAGACCTTCAACTAATCATTTATTTTGAAAAGTCTGTTATTCTGTGTTTTCATTTCTGTGGGAGCCACAAGGGCAGCTAAGCTGATCCCTCCACCATGTCTCTCACATGGTGCATGTTGGGGACCTTCAGGATAGAGGGCAGAAATACCTACAGAATTGCAGTGCAAGTTTCTTGTGTCTTTGTTTGGTTTTTGGTTTTGGGAAATGGAGACTGACCTATTCTGTGAAACTACATAAAACATCTCGCCAGGAAGACAACATACTTTCTTGGAATGTTCTCTGGAACTGCTTGTAGTAAGAGTCCTTTTTGTCCCTTAAACTTTCTTCAGACACAGAACTAGGTTTATATGTAAGTATATAACACAGGAGGGTTCAGTGGTATGCTACCCTCAAAGCTGTCAGTTCCCTTAGTCTGTTTTGCTACCTTATTTTTACACATCTGTGTTAATATCTGCTGCAACTACTGCAGAATCCATAACTTGTCTACGCTGAGTTGTGGAAGCAGTATCATATACGCAGCTTCCTTCTGATAGTAAAATATTGCTTTAAGTGTATAAATAGAGCTTTATAGGTAACTTTCAAAACTACTGCTATGGAATGCCTGATTAATCTTTCATAGAGCTGATGGAAAAATCAGCAGGTCCTGCAGTAACATGAACCAGTCACAAAATAGTACTAATTAATAGAAAACAGCAGTGATTTAAAGTATTTGCTAGGTTTTCTAGGAGTTGGGTTTCACTGGAGGATAGCTTTTTGTAGTGGTAGAAAATGGAATGTGCAAGTGTATCCCTTCTAATCTTTGGCAGTTGCTTCTTTGACAATATAAAAATAAGGTTGTTCGTAAGGAAGGGTGCTTGAAGACTCTCTGTAAACAGCCCTGACGTTGCTGAGAGGTCACCTGTGACTTTTCTGGAGGTGGATGTACACTTCTTCACATGACATGTTAGAAGCCCTGTTTGTTTTTTGTGACTGATCCACTTCGACTTTGGCCTTTCACAGAACCGTGTGGCTGAAGACCTGATAAAGACATTGCAGACAACATTAAGACTTTTAGAAGTTATTGAAGCTAAGTACTTAAATGCAGCTCCTTTCACTTAATACTAAGATGGTGGGGTTTTCTTGCTTCTTATTCCAGCCATCAGTCAGTTCATTGCTAACTTAAAAACTATTTCATATAATTTGCAAGGTAATTTGCTGCTTCTTTCAGCCTGAGGCCTTAAGAGGAAAGTAATCACTTATCAAACCATGTAATCAACTGGAACCTTAAGTTTTAGATATGACTGTCCTTCCCAAAGGGGTGAAAGGTAGGACCTCTTCATTGCTGGGATCTGCTCTGTTTCTTGATCTCCCGTGATGCACTCATGTCTACAATGCTTTTATAATTTCAATTTTTTTCTGTCAATACAACAGTCATAAAACTCCTGTTTAAATACGTTGGCTGGAGGGGTGAGGAGAGGAGGAACTCAGTTTAATTGGAAACCCTCCTTTCTTCAATTAAAAAGAAGTTATTTCAATTTGGTACTTTTATTAAATAAAACTCAGGCTGCCTCTTATACCATCCTTATTAGTATTAATGAAGGTCATTCAGCTGTTAAACAAGCTAGAAATCCCCTCCAGTCTCCTAATCAGCACACATGTGCTTTCTACCCCTTATCCTTTGCAGCTTTAATTCCATCTTTTTAAATATACATACTCTTCTTATGTGAGAAATCCTCATAACTCCATTGAGGGCCCCAAAACACAGTGGTGAAAAGCCTACTTTTCCCTTGATTTCCTGATGAGCTTACCTGAACCTGCTGATGCTCTGCTTGTCCAAGCATGATTGCCATAATCAATAACGGTGCAAGAACGACGATGCTGTGGATCTGGCTGAAAAGACAGTTCAAGATCTTTACGTTTACATGACAAAAAGGCTAACATCAAGATTATAAAGCAGCTGAAAACAACTTGATTGTACTTATTGCCCAAGAGAGCCAATATGCAAGATGCTGTGATGTTCCACATACAGCTTTTACATGTTTAAGGAGGGTTAGATCAATTTCAGGAGAAGAAAATACACTTTTCTTACACCCTTAGACTGACTGTGGAACAATTTAGAGGGGTTCTTAACACTTCTGAAAATTGTTCTGTTTCAAAATGGGTTTTTAGAAAGCTTGTATGTTGGTAACTGGAGAGCCAAGGATGTTGAAGTTCTACATGGAAACTAACAAACCGGATGGCGCCTATCACCTATCTGTGCTAACTGCCAAAGCCCCCTAGTCAGTAATTTAGGATGAGCTATTGTCATTTGCTATGTTTTACCAAAAATACGTTGGTTGTTTTAGGCCTGGAGAAATGATCAGGTAAGAAGAGCCTCTCGTGTAGGTGCTGGTGAGTATCTTCGTGTGTTGTTACACTGTGAGCTCGACTTGAGTTTCCTCGAGATTTCTGCATTAAAGCATAACAGCATTATTACTTTTCCTTATTGCAGCAGTACATTGAACTTAAGTACCCTAAGAATTGAAGCTAGTTTTCCAAGGCGAAACGTTCCACACCTACTTTTTGTGAGGAAGAAAATTCTAGCACATATTGGATTTGCAGCATTCAACTCTAGATGATGCTGTTGGTCAAAAATCATGCAACATTTTAGCGCATCTATTTCAGCTGCTGTCAGAAGATAAACAAACTGGAACTCCTGTGCTTGGTAATTTCATCAGCACTAACTACAATTTTAGCATGTCCAGTTGGAAAATCAAAGGGTTCTGCCTGTTACCGTTTGCCTCTGAGATCCTGCGGTGCTCGTGTGTTCTGCCACATCAGTGGTACCGATAGGTGGTAGGAGATGATTTCTGTTTAGCAGCAGTGGGGAGGGTGAGGTCAGCTGCTCGTGTGCACTCAGACTGCAAGGCAAAGGGAAGGATAGGAAAACAGAGTTGGTATGCTTGACAGTTACAGTATTGTAAGTTTGTTTGGCATTGTGTAGGCTAACAATGTTAAAGTAAGAGCAATAGGTGCAGAACATCTGCTGTGAAATGCTGGCTTTAGGGCTAACTGTGGAGACTGACTTTAAAAAGTGAGTTCTGCAGCAGGTGAAGTTTGGCAGAAAACTCTTTAATTTATTAGTAAGACTTTCTGCTTGTTAGGGTGTTTAATATTCAGCTTGTAGGTAAAAGCAAGTCTCAGAATGAATACTCTGGTGGTGGGAATATACACAGGCCAGGTGATGGATGAATTGCATACATACTGATTGGTTTTAAACTGAGCCAGGGGAGGGTTAGGTTAAATATTAGGAGGAAGATTTTCACCCAGAGAGTAGTGAGGCACTGTTCACAGGTTGCCCAAGGAGGCTGTGGATGCCCCATCCCTGGAGGCATTCAAGGCCAGGCTGGATGTGGCTCTGGGCAGCCTGGTCTGTTGGTGACCCTGCACATAGCAGGGGGTTGGAACTGGATGAGCATTGTGGTCCTTTTCAACCCAGGCCATTCTATGGTTCTATGATGGGGAGGCCATAGTTCTATGCACACACTGACTGAAGGAAGGCTGTTCTGTAAAAATGTATTAGAAAAGCTTTGAACCACAGTCAGCATTTTAAAAAAGACTTTCCTCATGCTTCCTACATGCATTTAAACACATTTGCTAGTATGAAGGGGAGATGGTAAGATTTGCTAAATGGATGGAAGCATAAGGAAAAAGGACAGAAACATTTATGACAGACTGGAGGAACGCAGAAGCATAACTCATACTATTTAGACACTTGTTCCTGTCCATTCATGTAACAGACTAGATGAGTTTCTAGCTAAACTGATAAACTAGAAAGAAATGATGTTAGTTTATAAACTAGAAGGAAATGATTTTAGTTTGTAAAACTTGTGTATTCTACAAGTTCTGTAAAGCCTGTGTTATTTTTCTATACCTATAGTCCCTGTAAGAGACTAAACTCAGAGCATTGTGCCAAACGAAAATATATTCTGAACACAAGTGAAGGTTCACCGAGGTCAGTCAGAGTCATTTAGTTCTTTTCATGCTCCTAACAGGTTACCCAAGATGAGCACCCTGTCCATCTAGCCTGAGTAAGAACAGCAAAAGTAAGTTGCCATTAAAAGCTGTGCTTTTTTAAAGTTTATCTTGAAAATAAGCTGTAGAAAAACAAAGCTGTTGTCAAGAGAGAGAGTGGTATCTGCTCTGCTTGGACTGGACAGACTGAAGGATACGATTTTCATTCAAAACTGCATAACAGAATTAATTGAATCACATATTGTAACACAGTAAACTAATAACTTCGCTTGATAAATATAAAAAAAAATAATCAATTTTTTCTTAAATGAAAAAATTCACATTCTTTCAATTTAACTGAATGCTCCTTGTGTAAGATGGGTTCTCTAGTTGTGGTAATTTGCCATGAGAAGCTGGTTTGGAAACATACAATCGGGTTCCCCTGAAGACATCGTCCACAGAGCGCGGGGTCGCAGTGCGGGACTGACTGGTGCTGATGGGATGCAGGGTACGTGGTGGTGGGTTTCTCCTCTTGGAGTTGTGAGACAGAGGCGATGTGCTGAGCTCCAGAGGAGGACGATTTGGCCACGTTTTGTTTGAGAGGACGGAACTGGAGCCTGGGCGTTTGTCATCCAGGTCCCTAATAAAAGAATCGCAGAACAAAAGGAGATAATTTTGCCATGACTGATAACCACTTTGTCACTGCATTATTCATCTGTGTGTGATGTTAGGAATGTAGAGGTGATTTGGGGTCTTTTTCTGGTTCTCAATACCATACAGAACCACTTACTTCTAAATTAGAAAACGATAGTAGGCAAGAAAGAAAAAAGCCTATATATAACGTGTGTATATACATGTAAATACACATACATCTATTTACTGAACTATTAACTTTTTGATGGAACATGTCAGCATGAAAGTTGTAATTCTCCATAGCATATACATAAAAATACTGCAACCAGCAGTTCTCATAGCCATAGCCAAGATGTAACAGAAGTCCATTTCTAGGAAGTGAGCAAATCAGGGTCTGCATCCCACTCTAAGCTTCAGCTCTTTTCACAACATTATAGAATTCTAGAATGGCCTGGGTTGAAAAGGACCACAGTGATATCTAGTCCCAACCCCCTGCTATGTGCAGGTTGCCAACCAGCAGACCAGGCTGCCCAGAGCCACATCCAGCCTGGCCTTGAATGCCTGCAGGGATGGGGCATCCACAACCTCCTTGGGCAACCTGTTCCAGTGCTTCATCACCCTCTGGGTGAAAAACTTCCTCCTAATATCTAACTTAAACCTCCCCTGTCTCAGTTTAAAACCATTCTCCCTTGTCCTATTACTTTCCATCCTCGTAAACAGCCATTCCCCCTCCTGTTTATAGTTAATGCTACCAATGCCACAGCCATTTACTAGAAGGCACATCAACAGTAATTAGATATAAAGACCATACTTGAAGTATAAAATTTGATAAGGAATAATACATAAAAAAGCAAGAAAATAAATGAGAATTCATTTCACTGGGGTAAAAAATTATCTCATATTGTTTTGGATTGAATCCCTTTCACTGAGAGAGTGCTCTGCTTAAAAACAGACAGAATCTATAGCTCTTACAGAGTTTTCTCCATTACGGGCAGATTCCTTTGCTGTAAGTGGATCCCATGTATCACTATCAAGCCATTTAGGTTACGTTGAGACCCACTATTTGACCCTTGATTTACCTGAAAGATAAATTAAAAAAAAAATTACTGTTTGGCAATAACATACACCCATATTTATACATTTTGTCCTCTGTAATACTTTTGAAGGAAAGAAACCTATTTCATCCAAGAAATCCATATATATATATATATCCTCATTTACACAATTTCCTCCACCTAAGATAGCATTTCATTCTTCTTGCAAATGGTAGTGCTTAGTGTCTCAGATGCTGCTATGTCACCTTTAATAATTCCCAACTGAGCCTCTTGTTTGCACAACTTGATCTTCCAACAACAGCTATAATCAGGAGTTGTACACAACTATTTTTTCCAGTGTATGTTGGCATTTATTTTATGTCAAGGACAGACCTGGACATTCCTCTCCTGCAATACAGACTGATCTTGAAAAACATGACATTCTTCCCACCATAACAACAGCAAACAGAAAAGAACAGAGCTTAAATCTCTCCAGCATACATACTTGAGGTGGTTTTCTCCTCTTTTTGCTTTTGCGGCCACATCTGGGTTTTGGGCACTACACATACAGTAACAGGAATGTGAGGAAGATGCAGGGGGTAGAAATAAAGGAGAAGTAAAAAGAAATAAAGAGTTGAATTAAAATGGAATGAACAGAGATAACACTTGGTGCTCACCACTCTAGGAGCATATAATCTAAAGCAGTCAAATTCAGAGTCTGGGGGGAGAAAAAAACAACTGTTGTACAAAGTCACCAAGATTTATTCTCTGTTTCCTCATCAGTTAACAACAGATAGGCTAGGGAGAATGGGATCTCACACTATCCTGCATCTCACAATTTAGTTCCAGCACTGTTAAGTGTAGAAAGAGCTGCATCATTAACGAACAGTCACCACATGGCATCCCAATACACACGTAAAACAGTCAACTTTAATATTAAAGAGAAAAATAAAAAACCTGCAGCTGAGGATTGCACAGAACTTCAGTGGTTAGCAAGGACAGTCAGCATCCATGCACAATCCAAACTAGTCATGCAGCTTAAGAGTTTCTGACACTCTTGAATCTTCACTTCTGTAGTACTGTATTGAGTCAAGCCTACACAAACCAGCTGGCTAGAAGTACTTACCAGATTTGATGTTACAGAGGGCATTTTAGTTTGTGGCACACGAGGTAATAGCACTGGCAGAGGATCAAACTGCTGGGGGCTTCCAGAATCTGCTTGGATTGCTTCAACTTTTATGATATTTTTCTCATCATCTTCACAAAGCAAGAGAGAATCCCTGTCAGTACAGACTACTGACACTCTTATTTGTGCACAATACTGTGAGAGTCATCTTAAACATTAAGCTCTGTTAAATCTTTTAAAGGCACATCTTACACTGTTAGGAAATAACCTTTTTCAGCCCTGAAGAGATTATTCCCAAATGCATCTCTCATTGCATCCTTTCAAAAGTCAGTAACTAAAACCCCCTCTGAATCTTCAGTCTAACTGCCATCCTTACCAGAGGCTGACACTTCCCAGTGTCTGCTGATCAGTTCTTCCATGCAGCCTAGCACTTCACTCCACACATCATCAAACACAAATGTGAACACAGAATCCTTCATGCAGGAATATGGAGAGATAGGAGGAAACCCCAATTTTCGTCTACCAGAGGAGAGTCCAATTTTCCCCTCATGCAGCTCCTCCTCCCTGTAAAAACAGTGGCGTTACAAACACACAAACACACAGTCTTTGTGTCCTGCATTTTTGTTTCACTTCTGCCCTATTTTCTACTGATCTGAAACAGGTCAAGGCAGCAGTTGCAAGTGATTCTTTAAAAGTCATCTCTTCCAACTCCCCTGCAATGAACAAGGGCACCCACAGCTCCATCAGGAGCTCAGAGCCTCGTCCAAACTGACCTTGAATGTCTCCAGGGATGGGGCATGCACCATCACACAGTATCACAGTTCTGTCTTCCAAGAGCTGACAGTATGATAAATAGCAATATCAAATGATTTAGTCTAACACTGAAAGAAGCAATCTTTTTCCAGTACTCCTGGAACACTTTTATACACCAGGTACATGAATTTGTAGTCCTTCCAGAATTTACTGTTGACTGAAATATGAAATGACTGAGACAATCACCTTCTCAACTACACGCCTTAGTTCCCCCATTCAGAATCACTATAAATTATATATGATAATATTTTATAACAAAGATCAAAGTTGCATTTAAAAATAAATTAGAGTTACAGTAATACTTCTTCATCACACTGTTAGTGGAAGCAATGGGAGATGACTGCTTGAAAAAGTGTACGTTCATCTGCCAAACTACCTTTTGTGAAAGGGAGAAAAAAATACTGATGTGAGCACAGTCGTTAGGGCTTTTGGATCTGTTCCTTGAATTAGTACTTACCATCAAAAAGCTAAAAATGCTGGAAAAAAATAAATATCTTCTATTTTACCAGTATTTCACAGATGCAGCAATATTGTTTGCTGCAACGAGACAAAAGGAATCCTCTTTATGCCACTCTCAATCCCTTCTTCTTAAGATAAAAATAGTGGTTCTATTTATAAGCAAGCACTGATTATTAACTTACCACTAAAAACCTGGGAAGGTACAATTGTATCCAAGATGTTTGTCTGTACACTGCAGTACAAAGCAGAAAAGCACACTGCTAGTGTATAACAAACAAGTATGAATTTGACTTAATGCAACAAATGTATAGCATTTAAATAAGACTTAAATATGCCAATATGTAGCAGGATGTTAGTTATAGCACAATGAACTTGGTATAAACCACAAACAAAAAGAGCTATTGTGAGAAATTATGTGAAATTCAGAAAAATAGAGCAAAATACATTGTTACAGAAGGTGGATAAAGAAAAATTTCCAGTGCCTTACCAAGCCCAGGCTTTTGAAAATTCTATAGAGCAAAAAGCATTTTATAAATCAATCAATAGCAAAACCAAATATATCTGTATCATAAGAAGAAAAATTCTGGGACACTGGTACTATCTTAATGCTCAAGACTTACACATCTCTGCAGTCAAAAGCTAAATATTCCTCCATTATGCCTTCAGAGACAATTACTCCATCTTCATCCTCTTCACTGTCTGGAGAACACAAGGTCGGAGACTTGGAACGGTCGGCCTTCTTGAGAACAGGAGAAACAGAAAGAGGCACCTTCTTGCCAAAAACACTAAATCTGAGCAGGTGACAGTTTTCAGAAAGCAGAAATGAAAAGAAGTTGTTATTCCACTTCCAATAGCAGCATTGAGTGAGCTGAGAAACAACACTGTAAGACCAGGTATTAGGGAGCCAGTGAATTTGTGTCCAGTTAATAAATGACTAACAATAAAACCTGCCACAATATCTGTATGTCCTTTGGAAATCAACAGTGGCAAAGGTATTTCTACTTACTGACTGGCTTGCTGTAGAGAGCAGCAAGGACAGCTGGATGCCCTTGCTATTCTGAATGTAGTTTTCTTCAGTTAAAAATGAAAAAGAAACAAACAACAACAAAAAAAACATGCTATGCTCAAAACCCAGCCTAACCAAAAAGCTAAACCATCACTCCATATATTGCTCACTGTTTAAGAAGCTGAATACTGCAGTCCACTGAAGGAAAAATCACCTTCCCACCTGGTACAGTCTGGATCAACTGCTGGTACTTACTCATTGGAGCCTTCTTCCTGTGATGGACTTACATCTGATGAACCTAAACTTGCAGAAGGTGAACTCGAATACCATTCATACCCTTCATCTTTGGGGATCACTATCTGCTTCCCCACGACCCTGCCAGGGCAAAAGCAGAAGATAAATAAATCAGAAAGTGTTTCAAGTGGGATTTTGGAAGAGTATTAGAACACGCAAAAGCAAATCTCAAAAATTCTATTGGGAAGCTATGCTATTTTCTTAGTAATAGTTAAGCATGGTTTTAGTTGTTTTCCCTACTACAGACTGCTTTGTGTCAGATAAATCTATTAAGAAAAATATCGTTGATTTTTTTCAAGCACTGCTAATAGTAAGGCTTGAATACAGACAGAACTGTTTGTGTACATGTAATGAAGATTTAAAACTTTCAAGACAGCCATAAGGACTGGTGGAGCTAGGGAGGATTTCTTAAATTATTTTTAAGCTGGATTTCAACTCTATTATACAACTTTTCCAAGAAAATTTTGCTATGTTAAGGCTAAGCCAGTTGCAAATAGCACTAAACTTCTGGCAGGGACCAAAGGTGAGATCATGGAATCATAATCATCAAATGGTTTGGGTTGGAAGGGGACTTGGTGTCGTCTGCAAACATTCTGAGGGTGCATTTGATCCCATTGCCCATGTCACCTACAAAGATGTTAAACAACACCACTCTCAGCACCAATCCCTGAGGAACGCCACTCATCACCGGTCTCCACTTGGATGGTGAGCCATTGATCACTACTCTGTGAGTGTGATCACCCAGACAATTCCTTATCCAGTGAGTGCTCCATCCATCAGATCCATCTTTTTCCAATTTGGCAACCAGGATGTCATGTGGGACTATGTGAAATGCTTTGCACAAGCCCAGGCAGATGATGTCAGTCGCTCTACCTTTACCCACTCACATTGTAACTCCATCACAAAAGGCCACCAAGTGTGTCAGGCATGACTTGCCTTTGGTGAAGCCATGTTGGTTACCACCAATCACCTCATCTTTATTTTCCATCTGCCATAGTAGGGCCTTCAGGAGGATCTGCTCCATGATCTTGCCAGGCACAGAGGTGAGGCTGACTGGCCTGTAGTTCCCTGGATCTTCTTTTTTTCCCTTCTTGAAAATGGGGGCTGTTTCCTCATTTCCAATCAGCGGGAACTTCACCAGACTGCCATGACATTTCAAATATGATGAAGTTCCCTCAGAACGTGTGGATGGATCTCATCAGGTTTGTGCTCCTTCAGGTTCTTTAGACGGTCTTGAGCCTGATCTTCATGTACAGCAGGCAGATCTACCTTCTCCAAGCTCTCACCTTTGCTTTCTGCAGCCTGAGCAACACAGCTAGAGCCCTTGCTGGTTAAGACTGAGGCAAAGAAGTCATAGAGCACTTCAGCTTTCTCCATATCCCTTGTGACCAAGTCTCCAGTTTGCTTCCAGAGGGGGCCCACATACTCCCTGGCCTTCCTTTTATCACTGATACACCTGTAGAACTTCTTGTTCCCCTTTATGACCTTGGCTAGATTTCATTCTGTCTGGGTTTTAGCTTTCCTAACCCGATCCCTGGAATAGCTTCTTTGTAGTCCTCCCAGGTGATGAATTCCTGCTTCCACTCCACCAGCAGCATGTTTTTTAATGACAACAGCAGGCAGACCAACAGAGCCATCTCTTTATCTGCTATATAATTACATAAAACCACCCTGCTGTTGTTTTAAAAGCAGCTGTTACCATCCCTACCTTTTGTAACTCTGTTGCTATTGACATTAACCTGTTAATGAAATACCTGAGATGAGGAAAGTTGGATGTCCACTGTTGGCATTCCTCCTGCAGTCCCTCAACGTGGACATTTTCTTTTTGTTCATAGAGTAGCTCATCGAGTTGCCTGAACATGTTCTGAACTTGCTGCGTGGCAGCCTTATCAAATTCCTAGAAAGGAAAGCCATCCATCAAAGTCCTAGTAAAAGCATTTAAAGATCACTTAAAACTTAGTTTTTTAAGTTGTAAAAGACCATCTGTTTGTTGAAAGCTTAGCAGGACTGATTTAAACAATCTTTTGTATGGAAAGACATTACATTGAAATAATCTGTCCCCTGGAGATGGTGCAGGCTGCTGTTACAACTCATGGTAGGACTTAGGCTTACATAGACACAAAAGAAAAGCTATTAAACTGTTTTGAAATGCCTGTATTATTATATCAACTTAACAACAGTAATTTATGTAAAATAAATCAGAACAGGAATGGTAATTCACAGCAATATTTTTATGGAATGTATTTTAATGGAACATATCTTGTTTGCAGTGCCCAACACGTGTCTGGTCTAAAAGACCAGGAAAGTGGCATTCTCACAACAAGTTCTCATACAGGCTAATTCTTGGGTAGTTTAAATCTAATCAGTTTCCATTTTCACTCCACAGAAAGCAATAACACACTTTCTTTTGGAAAAAGGAAACAAGAAAACAAAAAAGAAGTGATGGAAAAGCTTACTGCATTTTGAGTAACAAACAAATATCCAGAAATTTTCAACAAAGTGTAGTCCAATAAACTCACACCAAGTATCTGAAAGTCATCCACTCCTGTTTTGGACTCCACAACAACAGCATTTACTATGTTGTATGTATATTTACACATTAAGGGATTTGTATTTCCAAAGTTTTAGACCAGAAATGCAATAAGCCTACTGCGTTTTGATTTGAGCAAATGGAAAGATGGGGAAAAAGGCCAACAGGATGTTTTTTCTATCCCCAACATCATGCTTTGAGCCAGTCCTCAGCTTTATCCTGCAACGTGTTTACAGTGGTATTTCAAACATCTTCTGACTCACAGTGGTAGGTTAGTTTGGGGTGATGATGTTCTACTCACATCATAGCCCCAAGAGAAGATAGAGCTGTCCTCAGTGGAGGTGCCTGCGTAACTCGGACTAGCAGACCATGAATTCCCATCATCAGTTGGAGTAACAGAAGGGTCATCTGACTCCTTTGAGACTCCAGACGCACTGAAATGCACATGTTGGGGTGGGGGGGTGGGGAGGGAAGAAGAAAAAATACAACACGAGCCAACAACAGAGTCACAGAAAAGCAGATACAGAGGCTGCGTTCTGAAATGATACCGTTCTGTGGTGAAGCTGAAGGCTATCAACCACATGACTGCCATCAGTAAGACACAACACAAAGCTGATGGTTTTTCCCATGGTCTCACACAGAACCACAGAATGGCTCAGCTTGGAAGGCACCTCGAGGATCACGAATCTCCAACCCCCCTGCCCACATGCAGGGCCACCAACCTCCTCGTTTAATACCAGAACAGGCTGCCCCATCCCACCTGGCCTTGTCTCCAGAGCAAGATCTGCCTTCTGCAGTGCCACGTACCTGGCAGTCCCTGGGCATCTCTCAGAGGCAGCTGTGACAGGGCTGGGTTCTGGCAGCGGGTGGTGCCGCACGGCGTGCCTGCAAGCAACAGCAGAGCCTCACATTGCTCCCAGCTTTACGTGTGCTCTGGTTTTTGAGGAATGCCCCCAGCTTGCATCACTGAGGGTTTTTTTTCTGAACTCATTTATTCTTGTTTTGTTTTGTTTCTGAAGTCACTTATTCTTGTTTTTTATTCTGAGCTCATTTATTCTTGTGGGGTTTTTTTTGTTTTTTGGGTTTTTTTGAACTCATTTATTCTTGTTAGCCTCATTCACGTTCGAATTAAGATCCCAGGACAAACTCCAGGCCGGACTCAGCATTAGAGGCCTTGGTTTGGAAACGAGCAGCATCCCGTAAGGCCAAACCCCGCAGTGACGGGCCGAGCCCCGACAGCGGCCGCGACACAGCCCTACACGGCCGCGACACAGCCGTGCCCCGCGGGCCTCCGACGGGACGCGAGCGGCCTCCAGCATTTTCCAGCCCCGAGCGCGGCCGCGGCGAGCCGTGAGATCGCCCCTGCCCCCCCCCGCCCCGGCCCCACCCGCGTCCCGAGCGGCGGCGGCCACTCACGGCTGCAGAGCGCCGGCGGGCACCGCTTTCCTGGCGTATCGCGAGATCATCCTCCGCCCTCCCGGGCGCCGCTCAGCGCCGCGCCGAACGGCCCGCCGCCATCACGGCGTCACGGGGAGGCGGAGCGACGCGCGCGGCTCCGCACGGCGCGATGGAGAACCGCGGGAAGGCCGCGCCGGCCGAGGACGCCGTGCGCTACCGCCTGTTCGCCGTGCCGGGGGCGGGAGGCGAGGAGCGGCTGCGGCGCTGCGCCGACGGCATCGCGGTGCGCCTGGCGCCGCTGCTGGCCGCTTACATCTGGCAGCGGCAGCGCTTCCGGCTGAGATACGTGCCGCCGTGCGGTGAGAGGGGCGCGGGGTGGGGTGGGGTGGGTGTGGAATGGGGTCGGGTGGGATGGCGTGGGGTGGCGTGGGGTGGGATGGGATGGGGTGGGGTGGTATGCGATGACATGGGATGGGATGGGGTGGGATGGCATAAAATGGGATGGCATAAAATGGGATGGCATGGCATGGGATGGGGTGGGATGGGATGGCATGGGATGTGATGACATGGGATTGGATGGGATGGCATAGGATGGGATGGGATGCAATGACATGGGATGGGATGGCATGGGATGCGATTGGATGGCATGGGATGCAATGACATGGGATGGGATGGCATGGGATGGGATGGGATGGCATGGCGTGGGATGGGGTAGGATGGGATGGCATGGGATGCGATGGCATGGCATGGCATGGCATGGCATGGCATGGCATGGGATGACATGGGATTGGATGGTATGGCATAGGATGGGATGGGATGCAATGACACGGGATGGGATGGGATGCGATGCGATTGGATGGTGTGGGATGGCGTGGGATGCGATGACATGGGATGGGATGGGATGTGATGACATGGGATGGGGTGGGATAGGATGGGATGGGATGTGATGACATGGGATGGAATAGGATGGGATGGGATGGGATGACATGGGGTGGGATGGCATGGCATGGGATTGGATGGGATGGGATGGCGTGGGATGCAATGACATGGGATGGGGTGGGATGGGATGGCATGGAATGGCATGGGATGGGATGGGGTGGGATCACATGGGGTGGGATGGGATGGGATGAGATGACGTGCGATGGGATAGCATGGGATGGGATGGGATGACATGAGATGCGATGACCTGGGATGGGATGCGATGGGATGGGATGGTGTGGGATGCGATGACATGGGATGGGATGGCGTGGGACGGCGTGGGACGGCGTGGGATGTGATGACATGGGATTGGATCGAATGGTATAGGATGGGATGGACTGCAATGACATGGGATGGGATGCAATGACATAGGATGGGATGGCATGGGATGCAATTGGATGGGATGACATGAGATGCGATGACCTGGGATGGGATGTGATGGGATGGGATGGTGTGGGATGCGATGACATGGGATGGCGTGGGACGGCGTGGGACGGCGTGGGATGTGATGACATGGGATTGGATCGAATGGCATAGGATGGGATGGAATGCAATGACATAGGATAGGATGCAATGACATGGGATGGGATGGCATGGGATGCGATGGGATGCAATGACATGGGATGGGATGGCGTGGGATGTGATGACATGGGATGGGATGCGATGACATGGGATTGGATGACATGGCATAGGATGGCATGGGATGCGATTGGATAGGATGGGATGGCGTGGGATGCGATAGGATGGGATGGGATGGCATGCGATGCGATGCGATGGGATCGGATGGAATGGAATGGGATCGGATGGAATGGAATGGGATGGGATGGGATGACATGGGATGGGATGGGATGGGATGCAATGACATGGGATGGGATGGGATGGCGTGGGATGGGATGGGATGGCGTGGGATGGGATTGGGTGAGGTGCGATGGGATGCAATGACATGGGATGATGGGATGGTGTGGGATGCAATGACATGGGATGGGATGGGATGCAATGACATGGGATGGGATGCAGTGACATGGGATGGGATGATGTGGGATGCAATGACATGGGATGGGATGCAATGACATGGGATGGGATGGGATGCAATGACATGGGATGGGATGGCATGGGATGCAATTGGATGGGATGCGATGGGATGCAATGGGATGGAATGGTGTGGGATGCGATGACATGGGATGGGATGGGATGGCGTGGGATTGGATGGGATGGCATAGGATGGCATGGGATGGGATGCAATGACATGGGATGGGATGGGATGGCGTGGGATGCGATTGGATGGGATGCAATGGGATGGGATGGGATGACATGGGATGGGATGGGATGGGATGCAATGAGATGGGATGGGATGGTGTGGGATGGTGTGGGATGGTGTGGGATGGGATGGCACAGGATGGGATGGCATGGGATGCGATGCGATGGGATGGGATGGGATGCAATGACATGGGATGGGATGCGATGACATGGGATGGGATGGGATGGTGTGGGATGGGATGGGATGGTGTGGGATGCGATTGGATGGGATGCAATGGGATGCAATGACATGGGATGGGATGACGCGGGATGGGATGGGATGGGATGGGATGGGATGGGATGGGATGGGATGGTGTGGGATGGTGTGGGATGCGGTGACATGGGATGGGATGGCATGGGATGGGGCGGGATGAGATGTGATGACATGGGATGCGATGACATGGGTTGGGATGGGATGAGATGCGATGGGATGGGATGGGATGCGATGGGATGACATGGGATGGGATGGCATGGGATGCGATGACATGTGATGGCATGGCATGGTATGGGATAACATGGGATGGGGCACGGCATGGCATGGCATGGCATGGGGTGGGGTGGGATGGGATAAGCTGCAGTGGGATGGGATTGACATGTGGAATCAAACTCTATAACCACAAAGCAGTTATGTTTTAATCAATGCTGCGCAGACACCAGATGCAAGGGGGATCATTCCTCCTCACTTGCAACCATCTGGAAAAATCGTGCTACAGATATAGGGCAAACTGATCAATAGTTTTCCTGGAATTCGGATACATATTCATTACACCCATGAGAGTTCGTTAGCACACAGACCCTCCTTTCTTGTGCATGTGTAGTGGGTTGTGAGATGAAGATTTGTTGTTTTCCTTGCAAAGACTTCTGACCTTTTGGTGGGGCATCCCCCCAACCTGGTTTCTTCTTGTCCTGTGGACATCTAGTAACCTCCCTGCCAAATGTCCTCGGGCTGTTCTCAAACCCTTATCTTTATGGCCTTCATCCCCCTCACTATCCCAGACCCAGTGGTCTGCCATCTCTTCTTTTTTAACAAGCTCTACATTCTTGCTTCTATAAACTATCTCTAACTATTCTCCTTCACCCCCCTTTATTCTCAGTCACTGTGAAACCTTCTTGCCTTTTTACTTTCATTTATGGGGCCCTTCTCACCTTTCGGGATGGGATGGGATGGGAGAACTGAGAGGGCTTTCCCCACCAGGAACGGTTGTGCGATTCTGTTCCGGCAGGAGACACTCCGGAGCACATCGGTGGCACCACGGTGTTTGGGGACAACGTGGAGGACGAGTGGTTCATCGTGTACCTCATACGGGAGATCAGCCGTGCCTTCCCAGAGCTGGTGGCCAGGTGGGGTCCCACCTTATCCCGCAGCACCGGGCTGCACCCAGTGGGTGCCCACAGCAGCGCCCTGCCTTGTGCTGTGTACGAAACCAGCTTCTCCTTGAGCAGGATCGATGACAATGATGGGGAGTTCCTGCTGATCGAGGCGGCCGATTTCCTCCCGAAGTGGCTGAGTCCTGAGAACAGCGAGAACAGGGTGAGCACGTTGGGCACCGCTTTCCATCCCTCTCACAACTCTGGCTGCTGAAAGTTGCGCTTCTTCCTGCTGCGTCCGTCAGTGCTCACGTGTGGGAGTTTGCAGCCAATGGGTCTGCTGGAGGCTTTTCCTCAGGCACACAGCTGAAGGGAAGCTGGTATGAAGGAAACATTTGGCCAAACATGGAGATTTTCTGGGGAGACCTCACTGTGGTCTTCCAATACTTGAAGGGAGCTGGTAAACAGGAGGGGGAACAGCTGTTTACAAGGGTGGATAGTGATAGGACAATGGAGAATGGTTTTAAACTGAGACAGGGGAGGTTTAGGTTAGATATCAGGAGGACGTTTTTCAGCCAGAGGGTGGTGAGGCACTGTTCACAGGTTGCCCAAGGAGGTTGTGGATGCCCCATCCCTGCAGGCTTTCAAGGCCAGGCTGGATGTGGCTCTGGGCAGCCTGGTCTGCTGGTTGACAACCCTACACATAGCAGGGGGTTGGAACTGGATGAGTATTGTGGTCCTTTTCAACCCAGGCCTTTTGTGATTCTGTGCCCAAAGCCATTGATGGGACTCTGGGCAGCCTGAGCTGCTGGAGAGGCAGCCAGCCCACAGCAGGGAGTTGGAACTTCAGGCTTTGAGGTCTTTTCCAACCTAAGCCATTCTGTGGCTCTCTGATGTACAAAACACACCTTCGTGTTGCTTGTATGACCATGCTTTTCCCACCTGATGAAAATGTTTGCCAGGTATTCTTTTACAAGGGAGAGCTGCACATCATTCCACTGTCAGAGACCGAGGAGCAGCAGTGGGAGGAGCTGCCTGCTGAAAGCCTCACCATCTCAGAAGCATTGGCACTGTTATCTGTCCATTCAGAGGAGTTCCTGGCTGCAGAACCCATTCGAAGAGCTGTGTATAAACGCATCAATGGGTACATGCATGGTTTCTTTGGTATTCTGTAACAGAGTGCTGATTTTGGGCTGCCTGGGGAACTTCATTGTGTTCAGTCATTTTTCTGTTAGCTGCAGTAGAGCTGGTTCCCTTTTAGCTAGAAGTTTTGGTGGGGCATTGAGCAAATGGGGGACCTCTGTCCTGTGAGCTGTTGTGTTGTGTGGAGACTCTGGTGGTGGTTCACTGCTGGGATGCTACACCTACCCACGGCACGAGTCACCTTCCTTTCCATCCTTCTTCAATAATCTAATGAAAATGCCAACAGTAGTTAAAAAGGAGCGTTTGAGGTTTGCAGTGCACTGAACATAACGTTACAATTGTGTGACACAGATATCCTGAGAAAATCCAGGCCTCTTATCACCGAGCACACTGCTACCTCCCAGCAGGCATCGTGGCAGTGCTAAAGCAGCGCCCATCGT